GGAAGCTGGCTTCTTATGTCCGGAATCTACGAGTACAGAGTGTTTTCTAGCACCTGGGATGGTGACGAGTCCCAATCAACCGTCCTGTTCCGCGGCGGAGGCCTCTCGTGCTCTCGTGCTCGATTGAAACCCACAGTGCATGGACCCAAGTCAACCGCTCCCCTGCAGCTGCAGCGAGTGACGGACGACGGTGGTTTAGCTTGAAAACCACCCCCTGTCAAATCACTCAAATGCCAATTCAACGGAGCACGCTCGATAGCAATGAGCAAAGTTATTTGGGAGGGCCCTGTAATGGTCACTACCAGGGCCGGTTGATCTGGGTCCCCGCTACTATCACCGCGAGGCTACGAGCGAGCCAGTGAAAATGACGTTGATTTCCTCCTGCTTGGCACCTGTCCTCGTATCTAAAGTTTCAGGAACCACTCGGCCAGGCATACATGATCCCTTGGTATCACTTAACCGCGATTCCGTTCGATGATCTCGGAACTGCCCCTGTCTCGAGTCCTTGACCTTAGCTTCTCGAGACGGGGTCGCCAGGTGGGGTACCTCTCCGTGAGCTACAGTGCTACTGCTGGGTCTGCGATGATGGCGTCCACGGCGTCGTAGGTTTGAATATGTTGATCCCAGTCGACTAGGTCCCTACCGATTCAACAAAGCTTTGCCCGGTTCAAGGCCTTCTCTCCACAGCAATCCACACACACATGTCGGTAGTTCTATTCCCATCCCAATTTAGTCTGAACATAGTCTACCGTTGTGGCTCGAATTCCAGTTTCCGCCACCGACTCCCCTTTCCCCTCTTTTATTTTATTTTTCATTCCCCTTCTGTTCTGTTCTTTTTCTCTTTTCCAATGGTCGGTGCTTGTTGATCGTGGCCACAAAAAAAGGTACAGAACCAACCCCTGAGGCGGATCATTTTGGGTTTGTCTACCTTTTTCCAATAGTTCATCGTGGATTTGCATACCGGGGACTTGGTTATTAGATCACCTGGTGCCCGCCTTGACCGTCGGGAAAAAAAGTCCACCTCTGTTGTCACATTCCCTTCTACCTCAGGGCTCCCCGGTTGTGGTTCCTTCATACCCTTCCTTTTATGAAGAGAGTGAGCATCGGACTTCAAGGCCTCATCCCGCACAACACATTTCGACCATGAGTCTTGTTTACGTATTGCGCGCCCTGACCGACAGCGCGGGCGAAGGTAACCGACTCTCGCCGCGACTGGCCTATACAGAAGGTGGTCCAACAATGGACATCGATCCCCTTCCCAGTGCCCAGCGCAAGGGTCTCATTGCCATCTCGGTTATGGCCATCCTCTCCTTCATCGCCACTCTCATCCTGATTCTATTCATTACCTATCGACTGGTCTTTTGGCGGTCCAACTATGCACGATATATTGGTTACAACCAATATATCGTCTTGATTTACAACCTGGTTTTAGCGGATCTGCAACAATCTCTCGCGTTCCTTATATGCATCAAATGGATTGTCGAAGACAAAATTGAAGCAAACTCGGCGGCGTGCTTCCTTCAGGGATTCTGGCTGCAGGTTGGAGATCCCGGCAGTGGAATTTTCGTGCTGGCCATTGCCTTTCACACCTTCCTTCTCGTCACCATGGGCCATAAGTTGAGCCATCGAACTTTCGTTATCGGCGTCATCTCACTCTGGGCATTCGTCGCCGTGCTCGTGATCATCCCCCTTGCCTCTCATGGACGTTTTGTGTTTATTCCGTCGGGTGCTTGGGTATGTGCACGTCCCGTCTTACTCTCCAAATCGGATTGCTGACCGTCTTCGTAGTGCTGGATCAGCGAGGAATACGAACCCATTCGTCTGTGGACACATTATATCTGGATTTTCTTGGCCGAGTTCGGCACGGTGACCCTGTACGCTATCATGTGGTTCCAGCTGCGCCGGCAGATCAAGCAGTCCGCGATTCTGGGAAGCAGCCACACGGAAAGTCTAAAGCGTCTGCGTCGCGTTATCGGATACATGGTTATCTACCCCGTTGCATATATCGTTCTCTCCCTCCCCCTGGCCGCCGGACGAATGGCGACAGCTCAGGGTGAGACCCCCAACATCGCCTTCTTTTGTGTTGCGGGTGCCTTGATTACCAGTTCCGGCCTGGTCGACGTCCTTCTTTACACGCTCACCCGCCGAAACCTGATCCTGGAATCCGAGCCGAGTCACGATCGCAGCTACAACCGCTTTGTGAGCAGCAAGAACCGCAAGACCGATCATCTGACGACGATCACGGCGGACCCGAAGAACCGAACCGACATCAGTGCACTGCGTACCGTGCGCCAGCGGGATGAGGACGAAGAGATGGACCACCACGTCCGGGACGGATCGACGGACAACATCGTGCAGCCCACTGGCGTCGAGTTGACCCCCATGGGCAAGGTGTACCAGCACACCACGATCGAGATTACGCACGAGCCGGCATACCCGTCCGAGGCCGAGGGCAGCGACCGTTCCAGCCGCGATTCCGATAAAGGGCATCATCATGAACAAGCATCCAGGATGTGGGGAAAATAACATTGCAGTTCTCTCCCGATCACCCTGAAATGCCCTTCTAATGTCATTTGGTTGGTTAATGTCGACGTTGTTCACGCCTTTCTTCTCTTACCACTTTTCTTTGTCTCTGTATAATAGATCTTTTATTGATTACTCCGCATACTGGAGATCGCCTCATACCCCTTTTGATGACCCTGGCACTTGCATTTCTTGTGACATATTTGTCTCTCTTTCCTTTCTCTTTGGGGGCTTTACATTGACCCACGCCCTTCTCTTTTCTTCATGTACCACATGTGCATATATTTCCTTTACCTGCCTCTATACCATTTTCATCCGAAAAGAACCAATAATATACAACATCGCGGCGACAGCAGCCACGGCGATGAATTTTGACGACTCATTTCCACTCATCTGCGGAGAAGTCCGTAGCGGCTTAGGACTCGTTCAGACAAAGGATCCTTTAGATTATTGTAATGATCTAACAGAACCACGCGACGAATCGTGATCGAAGGAGTTCCCAGGAAGAAACACGGGCGGATTCCACCCCAGGTTCCCGCGATCGGACGGGATTCAGACCGTTTCAAACTCCGTCATTGCACTTGCATTATCAGTATTGATTAACTACTATTAACCATGCGGAGACTAATCCAACGGCCTGGGGGCCAATCCACGCTGTTGGGTACGAGGTGTAGGAATCAGGCTATAAGCACTAGCATGCGACCGGACCTATGAAGTAATCTGTTAACTAATGGGCAGTTACTCCGTCAGTCATTAATTTCTATTTAATCAACATGCCTAACTAGCTAATCAGTAAGAACAAAGAGTCCCATACTGGAATGAGTGTATACCTGACTCTGACCCGACCCCGATCAGACCAGAAAAAAAGACTCCGGTCGCAAACCCCGTCCGTCCTCTCAATAGTCAATACTACACATTATTCGGGAGAAATGCCTGGGTCAGTTACCGACGGTGGGTCAGTCGTGCCGTCTGGCTTGGAATCAATCTTTTTTTATTCGACATTCCGACTTGATGACTTATTGATGGGTTTAGTGAGAATGACGCGGTGGGGATCCGCTTTGCTTTGGGTATTTGCTCCGGGATGAGACTCTGAGTCGTGTCACTCTTAGTCTCTGATTTAATTTTACATTACTGCGTACTGAGTAGTGGGGTGTCAACGGTTAATTAATTTACTGAGGTTTCATTTCGTGCATTGGACTCAATTTAATTGATTGGATATCATATATCCCGTCCCAGGGAAGTCTAGTACTGCATATGACAGGAGACGGCGCGGTGGTTCAAAGCCCGGAGAGCGGGATGCGGATCTATTCCCGTGGTACTCGCCTACCACAATATTATCCCTCATTTCATCTCTACGGGGTACACTCTGTGGTCTGATCGTTTGAGGTGTCCCTGTCTCTGTCTCTGTCATTGTTGTGAAGGAGGACGGAGTGAAGTGGAGAGAGCTGACGAGGGGTCTGCAGTACTGAGTATGTACCTCCTCTAAGCGAGGTCTATCACTTATCACTTATCAGGTTATCGCTGGGGATCTACAGTCTACAGATCGTATGCACCTAACTGCAGTGTACTGCAGTCTGCAGAATTCATCGCCATTCTCTCTCGCCCGAGTCTTTCGTCAAATCCCTCGCGCAAAGCTCGCTTCTTCTGAACGTCATGCGCCCGTTACAGTGTAAGTTTGGGGTCTCTGGATGATGTGTGATCCTAAGATCTGAAGAACATGCGACGCGTCCACGATAGGATTAGGAGGTTAAGGCAGAGAACCCCTCGTTGGGTGGATAAGTCGACCTCGTCCCCTCGCATCTTGAATATGCAAGCCACGTCCCGAGGCAATGGAATCTGGCCGTCACCATGACGAATTGAGTCTGGAGCTCGAATGCAACGGCAACTGAAAAGCGAGATGCTGGTTACACCGATACTGCTGGAAGAACTCCCCTCGCTGAAGGCGGGCATATTGGAAATGTTGCCACTGCACGGGGTCGCGGGGAGGATGCTCCTACGTCACAACGCGCCGCCGAGGATCACGGTCAGCAGCCAGCCGTCAGCACTTAAACGTAGCCGAGCGGTTCGAGATCAGGCGAGGGAAAAATTTCCGACCCGATTCGAATGGATGGAGTATGGATGGGGTTGGGGAGGGAACCCCAGGAGACGAGCGAGGTATAGAAGGATATCCCGGAGGACCACCATATATTATTTTCGAAAGAATCGATCTATACAGATTCTATATCTAAAAAATCGGCCAACGCCGGATCACCCACGCCACGGCCGTTGCCAAGCGACGTGTTCCATAGATCATACGGTGGATTGACATCAACCCGGGATTCGCTTCTCCCCGTCGGGATTTGCCTGTGTTTTCGCTTTCCCTTTTTTTTTTTTACTCTTTCCAACCACGCCATGTGGCCCCTTTTCACCTCGTTAACTTCCTGTCGCATGGCCGGTGTTCCCCCTTTTCGTCGTCATGGTTTGGCTTTCGAAGAACCATGAATAACCTCTTGCCGGTCGGGGAGTTGAAGCGGCCCGCTCGTCGTGTCAACGATCCCCCCGTGAAACTCGCCTGTCTATCCTGGTATGCATCCGTCTGAAGGTTTTCAGTATAAAGGATTCGCGTGAATCTCCCTCGCTAACTAATTCCGTTCTAGTCGTGCTCTGCGGATCCGCTGTGATGGTCAGCCCGAATGCGCCAACTGTATAGCCAAAGAGAGACCATGCTGCTATGTGCCCAGTCGCCGAGGCGGTCCACGCAATTATTCCGCTCGTAAGAATAAAAGTGCTGTCGTCCACAGCCCGACGGACCTCACTGCCGACGAGGGGAAAGACCCTCCTCGCCTGAAGACTCCCACGCCGATGGAGCCCGAGGAGCACGCTCGCTCGGAGGCTGAAGGTAGGTGATCGCGCGCTCCGTCGTTGCTGCTAGAATCCGTACTGATCGATGACTCGCGGCGTGTTTAGAATGGGTGAGCCAACTTTCCGGGTTGTGCGGTCCCGGTGCTGGCCTGCGGAATGTCGAAGTGCCTCTGGCCGAGATAGACTCGATCTTCGATTCCATCTTCACGCCCGTAGACAAGAGTCCGCCAGACTCGCAGTCTTCCTCCAAGCCGAATCAGATCCGAATCTATGACAGCAACGAGCACCTGCAAGTTGACCCCGCGAGGAACACCGTGTGTAATCGGCATTTTACTAATCGTCGGAAGTAGATTAAGTGCCTACTACATCTTCATCCATCCTTATTTCCCCATTCTCCCCCCGCCGGAGCGCCTGCCGGTGACCAGCGGTCCTATCTCCAAAACGCCACCCAGCTTCGAGCCCTCGAACCCGCTGGGGCGGGCGATCGCAGCCATCATGGTCCTCATTCCTCATCCGAACGAAAAGGACCCTGCGAGGCCCGAGTACGTCAAGATCCGACGGGACTTTGCACATTGCTTCGCCAAATCGGCGTTGGACGCGATCGAAATCGACTACGAGTCGAAGGACCCCAAGGACCCCAAGGACCCCAAGGACCTCAAAGACCCTGCCGCGGAAGGTGTCAAGGCCTTTGACCGCGAGCCATTCCATCCGAAATTGCCAGTCTCGTTGGAAGGAGTGGTGGCGCTGGCGATGCTGAGCGTCTATGAATATGCGCAGCAAGGACATCTAGATCGAATGCTGCATCGGTCGAATCAGTCTCTGGCGCTGGCGCTGAGTATGTCACTCCACGAGGCGTTGGACGAGGATGAATTTGCGGAGGCTCGACGTCGAGTGTGGTGGATGACTGTATGTTTATCATCTTATGTGCCTGGGCCGGGAGATTCTAATGCTTGGAAAGTATATGACAACTTGTCAGGCGTTGGCTGTGAGCAATCTGGTGCGTATAAGACATTCTATGAACGGTGGCGAATTTAAAACTGATTGCCGCAGCCGCCAGTGTTCGACTTGTATGATCCCTGGTTTGTGACGCCGTATCCTGAGGTACGATGCTCCTTTATCTTTTAATTGTACACCACTAACTCTTTTGGATCCAGGGATGGAAACTACTCGTCGAAGCCCAACAAGCGATCCTCGAATCCGCCACATTCTCTCGAGACCTCGACCAGGCCATCAAATCCGGCGGGGACGCATCTCGGGTTCTGTACAGAATGGCCGAACTGGACAGCCAGATTGCGTCGCTCCTGCTGCTTTGTCGAGATTCTCTGTCCGTGTCCGAAATGGTGCCTCCGCCCGACTCCCCAGACCTCGTGGCATCGAACACGATGCGTGCGTTCGCAGAAGTCAAATTACATACGTATGTCACCTCGAGCGCCAACTCAAGATCCAAACCACTCACTCATCCCAAACGCAGCGCTCGCATCAAAACTCATCGTCTCTGCGCCTTCCAAGACATCGACACCATATCCCCGGAGCCAACTGACCTCTCCGCCCCAGCCACCGACCCGATCGACTTCTCCCTGGAATCCGGAAACAGCCCGATATACATCCAAGACCCCCCGGTCCCTCGCCACGCCCACCGTCTCCCCTTCCCGTTCTCCTCCGACGAATCCTCCCGAATCTGTCTTCACGCCGCGTTCAACGTTGTCGTCCTACTCGACAACCTCCCCCATCCGCGTCCCACCTCCGAGACCTCCGAGACAAACGCATCCCTCTCCCTGCACCGACCCCAGCATGATATCCCCCGCACCATGCCGACGCTGATCTGCTGTGCCATGCAATCGGGATATGCGATGCTTATGCTGTGCGTCAAGGCGCGCGCGCTGCAGCGCTACGGTGGCGAGGAAGCGAGTCGTCTAAGCGCGCCTTCGTTGACCATGACCGGGTTCCGGGATGAACTGCATCAAAGCCTGCGAGGGGTGGTCAAATGCTTGGACAATTACTGTATTGCATATGAGGCATTACATGGCGTGAAAGGTAAGATTTGTCCGATATTCGGTCTGTCGGTTTCCTCAATTATAGACCTTATCAACTAACACTATTTCCGGTAGACGAGATTTGCCAAGCAATAGAGCGAGAATTCCGACTTTGAAGTTTCGTGTTGGTGCAGGCAGGCAGTTGCATCTTTTTTTTGGCTTTGCTTTGGCTTTGGCTTTGCCTTGCGCTGTAACTGCGACTAATTACAACTGCGGCTACAACCTATGCAAGGTCATTAGTTTAGATCTTTACCTCTTCCATTTTCCATTTTTCTTTGGTTTTATTTTGCGATTACGATTGCGACCGCAAACACGACTGCTAGTGTTATTTCGCTGATTGGCTGATTGAGGTCTGGATGTGGGATTGGATTGGATGGCTTATTTGCATTACCATTTACTACCTATTGGTTGCTAGAACCATCCGCGGTGGGTAGGTCACGACGGTAAACGGTGATAATAAATACATGAGACGAGACGAGGCATGAACGAAAAATGAAGATAGACTTCTTAATGAATATCCCTATGATCTTTTCCTTTCCTTTTCATTTCTTTTTTTATCTGATATATGATGGGTATGGATATGGGTATGGGTACTGGGGATTTATTAGAGCTAGATTGATTCCATTCTAGATGTAGCTGACAAGGGAGGGATTGAGGTAGGTATTGTGTAGGATGTATTATGATCCAGATCAGCTAGAGATAGGTAAATAGACGGACTGAACTGGCTTGGTTTTAATTTGGGCCATCTCGTCCGGTCAACGAGAAAAGAAAATCCAAACGACGGAAGGCAGGAGAGTTGAGAAATCCAATCCTCTTCTTGTTTGAATTTCCTCGTTCGCTATGCAGCCACAGTCGTAAATAAGTATGTACAGTCATCACACCGAAAGAGAGAGAAAGAGCTCTGATCATCTCATCTTACTCCGTCGTTTACTGGAAGAGATTGATCATTAATAGTAGGATGAGATCACGCCTGCGGATCTCCTTATCATCGTTTTAGTATTATTCTTCTGGCTCAATGCCACATCACGTCATCGCAGCCCCACCTCCTGATACATATCGACCATCTGCCCCCTCACCGTCTTCGCCAACGGCCACACCTTCCCCAGGACATTCAACCCGCCCACACCCAGCTGGATTCTCGCCTTCAGGGACTCGACCTTCCCCGCGGACGGCACCACCATGCACGCCGCGGTGTGCACCACGATGCAGATGGCCAGCGCACACGTGAAAAACGGCGTGCGGCCTTGAATGGGATTCGGCAGGGTGGCGAGGTTCGAGAGCAGGTCTGCGGCGCGAAGAAACTTCTGTGAGTGGAGGTCGAGGTCGGCGGAGCCGGAATGCGAGGCATCCCGGGCGGCTTTGAGGCGTGTGCATGAGGTGCGGTTGCTGAAGGAGGCGAAGCGCATGCTGGAACGGGGGTGGTGGAGGTAGATCATCCCGCTGGGAGTGGTTAGTCTTTTTACACTCCCCCTCGTTTTATAAGTGGAGGGGTGGCACTTACATATAGGTGATCATTTCTGCCTGGAATAATAGTTCGTCAAAATCGGAACTGTCGTATCCGGACCCTTGAGATGAAGGGAGTCGCATCAAGGATGACACGAGGCTGGCGTCGACGGTCTGCACGCGGGCTTCGAGATCTATATCGAGCGAGCGGTTCACATCCATGACTTTCCCGAGGTTTTGGATGGCATGGATGCGATAGGCAAAGGACGACGGGCAGTTGCCCTGTCCGAGGGACCAATTGCGTTCGAGATCGTTGAGGGTCTGTCGTATCGACATCGGCTATCGTGACGTTAGCAAGGCGGCGCAGGCGAGCCAGGCAAGAAGAGAGATGCATACGGCGATCCCCGAGCTAAAAGCATCTTCCGCACAGGGTAATCGAACATCCGTCCGTTGACGGCAGAGTCGAAACGAACTCTGGTCTCGCATGGTGGCCAATAAGCCGTCAACGACGTAGAGTTCCCAAAACGTCCGGCACCAGCTCTCCTCCATCAGGAAGTCGCCCTCGGAGTTCTCCACGGCAAAGCCGGAGCGATGCATGCCCAGATCCAAGGCGAGGTCAATGGCCGCCTGCATGGATCGATGGGCACTGTCATCCTGGCCGTGCGCATGCTCCACAATGGCTAGCAGCAGCATGCCTTGCACCTTGAACCCGTCTCGCAGGGTGGAATCCGCGAAGACGGCGTAGGCCTGCGCGCGAAACTCTTCCTTGAAGGCCGGATCGGGGTAGAAGTGAGCGCCGACGTAGCGCATGATGAACAGCAGGTAGGACGGAATGCGATCCGCCAGAGGCGACGCCAGCGCCTTCCGCGGGACCAGCAGGGGGTGCGACCGGTGGAAATTCTGGTAATACAGCTGGATCATGGGGTCGTAAGCCACCCCCGGGGTGGACAGCTGCTCGGGTTCGGGCCAACTCATGGCATCGTCTGTTAAGCTGGGCATGTCGAAGGTCTGAGGCGAGCCGAGGGACTGGAACAAGGCTTCGCCTGCCTGCGGAGGGGAAAAGGAGATTTATGTGAGATTTCGGGGATTTCTTTTGTTTCATGATGGCTAAAGAAAGGTGACACATACATCCAGGTCCGGAGGCAGGGGGGTGCTATTGAGCCAATTGGAGAAAGCATCGGCGTCGAACAAAGGCACGTCGTGATGGTTGAATAAGGGTGACGGCGGATTGTCGGGTTTGCTGCGCATTCCGCGTCGAGAGCGCACATAGCGGCATTCGAGGTCGGAGGTCTGACAGCGACCGCACACGGGCATAATTGAGTCGCATTTCAGGTGTCGTCGTCGACAGGGCAAACAGGCGAGCGACGAGGGTTGACGTGGGGAGGATCTGGAGGGGTGGTGGTGTTGTTGTTGTTGTTGTTGCATGACTGCGGTAGATCAGGAGTAGTAGTACTACTACTGAAAAGAAACCCGGGAAGGTCGAGGCCGCGGCGGAGGAGTATCATTTTTAAGATGAAGAGCGTGAGGTAAGTCCAACGTGGGGGGGAAGCGAAGTGGAAAGAGAAAGTCTAGAGAGTAAGATTGTCCCATGGAAAAGGGAAAAAGAAGGCAAAGAATGATCCCCTTCGATCCCGAGATCCCCGATTCGGCGACCACAGAAAAGGCCGAAAGGAAAGAACGACCGCCAAGCCTTCTTTCCTCTTTCTCCGGTGTAAACACTATACACTTAACACTATCGGGGACGGGGGACCACGACGTCACTGTCCGCGGTTGCTCGCCGGTCCTTTCAAGAAAGGAAAACCTCAGGCAGGAAGACCGCCATGTGCCGCTGAAGTTGAGGAGTCCCTAGCGGTGTAACCCGAGTGCATTCCATCGGGCTTTCTAGACCGAAGGTTATTGTTCTCAAGTATTAACTCAAATACTTGCATCGCCTGTGCAGATGGTTTCCCCGAGTCCCCAGACCGATGCATCAATCAGATCCTCGTCTGGCCCGCGATCTCGTCGGCGAGACCTTCTGTCGGTCTTTCTAGACGGCGTCCAGATCGGCGACCAGAGTCTATCCAGAAGCTGGAATTCTCCGGGGACAGCCCGACCAAGTGGACGCGGGAACGAGGATCGGACGTGTTCGCCATGCATCGCCCTGCAGTGGTGGTGGAGACCAGACTAAGTGGACAATGCAAGCCCGAGCGGATGGACGCTGGAAGGTCCCCGACTAATTCAGCCAGGATTGAGGCTGACGCGGTCGGGCTTTAACTCCGTCGGAGGCCTGGAGGGTTCCCGACCGTGGCCTGATTCAGGCATCTGCTGACGGAAAGACGCTAGCCCCTCTGGGTTAGTCCAAGTCACGGCGTCCTCAGGCAGACACCCCCGGAGTGGAATCTATGCTCATTGCTCTCTGACCCCTCTATCCACCTCGGCAGGATCACGAAAGTACCATACTACCGGGACAAGCCTCACGCCATGACGGTCATTTGCCAGCTATTCATAGAAATCTCCGAGTGTGAGCACAGCGCTTAGCGGGTCAGGTTGGTGCGTCCCCCCGAGCGCTTAGAGGTTCCTACTATGACCAGATTGGAAGGTGGTATACAAGAAGGTCGTCGGTGTCAACTCAGCTATCGACATGAGGCGCCCACGAGGTGACCACCGAATAAAAGCATACCTATGGTGATTTCGGGGCGATTGGACGATGCCCGGAGCGAGTTGCTGGTGAGGATCAGCGTTGCGCAGGTCGGGCTGATCGGGGACCTGCATGCCGGGTTCAGCGTGGCAGTGAATGTGTTGATGGGGACCAATTCGAAGCGTAAGAGGGTTCTGGGAGAGGATTTGCTGTTGGCGAGGAAGTTGAGGGGAAGACAGCCGGATGGAAGTAAGTTCATTTACCCAGCACGGCCGAGCCCTTTTTACTCGGTCTTTCCACCTACTTCAATGTCGAAAAAGCTAGCCCCAACCTATTAGACCGCATCAACCTTAACCCCGAGGACATGCAAGCCCTGGGTCTTGAGACCGAGGCTCTGCGGGACCGCACCCCCGATACCAAAAGGGATCCAGTAGAAGTCAGCTTCGTCGAGAACGTCACACTGGACCAAGCGCGAATCATGTTTGGCATCGTGGGAGTGCAGGACTGGCAGCGCGCCGCGGGCGTCAAGGCCAATGTGCGCGGAAACCAGTTCGGGAATGAGATGAAGTTTTTCGCGGGCATTGCGGATGCGAGCGTTGCGCAGGCAGTGTTTGCGAAATAGGTAGTGAGATTTGGTTGAGGTTTCTTGTAGATTGAGTCTGTATACCGTGGTGGTATATTTTGTTCTTGCTTGGGTAGGGCTGATTGATTTTGTTAAGTTGGGTTTTCATTCTTCCTTTGTTTGTTTGTTTAGTTTTGATATGCTTTGCTTTGCTTTTCTGATGTTTTGGTTATGGATGTTTTTGTTAGCTGCCTTGTGAATTTAAATCGTTTTCGTATCTTTGTTGTTTCTATAAATTGATGTTTATTCTGTAGCCTACAAAGCCCCGAGTATTTGTTCCGCGTCCTAGATGGGCCAGAAGTAGAGTTGTGCAAATAAGATAAAGATGGTAGTATATGCTTCAGTCCCGGACATACACCCTTCTTAATCCAGCGAGACAGTTTAGCTTTGGCTCACCTCAGCACGTTCCTGACCCTGTCGAACCATGTCGGACTGGCGTTCCCCCGCATCCAAATCAAGACATAGTCAAATCCAGGGATCTGACGGGATCCACGGGTCCAGCAGCCACCCGGGGGGCGGGGGAACAAGGCCATTATTCCGGAGTAAAGCTCTCGGGATCTGTATGTCGATATCCTTTTCCGTGTCAATGGTGGCTTTCTCATGTGACAGCGATGTTGATGTCATGGCCTTTGACGGTGATTATTGAGGGTGGTAAAATAGGGGATTGACGGGCTTCACTTCTCTCTTGAGGCATTAACTGCCATACGGCGAAGCCTCTTGGTGATAGATACCTGTCATGGTTCATTTCAAATGCCGGTCTCTGAAAGACCACTGAAGGTTGTGGTCTGCGAATGCCAAATGTGCCGAAACCAAATGCTGGGATGTGCTGATCGACCGGGTCATATCATGGCCTAGGTTTGAGACAAAGTATGGAGTAGCCCGAGGTTAGTAGATCTAGTCATGTATTAAATCCTGCCCTTGGAGAATTGGGATAGTAGTTGTTGTTGATGTTGATAAGCCAAATTCGATGACAGGAAGAGGAAGAGGAAGAAGAAAGACAAAAGAGGGGGGAAGAGAGGCAGAGAGAGAGATTGTGTGAGAGGCAGACCAGATTTCCACGTGAGACCGTCGGAGCCTGAGGCGAGGAAATCCGAGAATGGAACGAGAGAATTTAATTCCTCATAACCGAATACTATCCAGGGAGTTTCATATTTATGGACGAGTTGCACCGTGATTGTATTAAATGATCCTGTCATTTCTAATATTATGTCTATAAAGCCCTGATTTAGTATACATTTTACCCATCCGATGGGGGCCGTGCAGGTCTGACAACCTCAAACCCCTTCTCCTTCGATTTCCGCTGCTTCCATCGAGGCAAGGCCTTGGGAGGTCTTGACTGTGAATTGGCGTCTGCCGACTGTCTCGATCCCATAACAATCTTCTGACGGCGATAATACTGATCCGCCTCGCGGACGGAATAATCAACATTAGATGCCCGGTCGGACACGGAGTCGTCTTCATCCTCTTCGATCAGTTCCATGCTGGAACCACCGGAGGAGGTGACCGAGTCACCCATGTCCGAGGATGATGGCACCGAGCGAATGGTGCGTGTGCCGTCGGTTGGGGCATATGATGGAGCATATGAAGGGGCGTATGACGGGGCACATGACGGGGCATACGACGAAGCGTTGCGTCGCGGAGCCCGATAGAACTGGCTTGCATCGTCGGCAATACGTGATTCTCCGGAGGATCCAGGTCGGGGCAGGGGCGTGTGTGTTATATACGCGGTGATGGATTCGTCTGGATGGAATTAGTGCGACGATCAGAAGGGTTATCAAGATCGACATACCTGGAGGGCTGAGCGCAGGTAGGTGGGAGAAGCTTGTTCCCCGTTTCGACCGACGCGAGAGTTGATTCAATCCGAACACCTGATGGACATTAGCGATGGCTCATGAGAAGCGAACGACAACAACAGCAACAGCCTACCGGAGCGTTTTGTTGGTCTGCTTTGACCCCCACGAAGTGAGAATCCAGCACCCCAAATCTCACTAGGATGTACATCACGCAATTATATAGCGATGGCACGAAAAATCCGAGAATGAGGGCCGACGCATGTAGAGAAAGGATGAAGTATCCCACCAAGCCCTTCGATCCCTCGTTGAGTCCCGCGGAAGGAAGAAAGGCACAGCTCATGGCCGTCGTGGTCAGTCGCACGGCGGCCAGGCCGATGGGTCTCCACACCGAGCCATTTTGTCGGTACAGTAGCAGACAGACAATCAGTGCGATTTCACAGGCCATGAGAATGACAATTTGCCCAATGCCAGAGACCTGCAAGCCGCCAATGGCGACGCCTCTGACCAGCGGGAGCCCGTACAAGGCATCGAAGAACCACCTTCGCGTGGACCGGCCCGGGAGAGTGCTTTCACTGAAGAAAGAGTCCTGTCGTTTATGGACCGTCAAATATCGAACTAAGAATCCTAACGAAACGGCGAGGGCTGCCGGCACCGAGATGGCAAGAAATGACCGATACACCTGCGAATGACCCATTACCGGCTGGTAGAGCGAGAAGGTGACGATGGGCAGCAGATAGTAGTGGAGCACCATGCGGACAACGCTCCATCCGGCGTGCTGGATGTGCGACAGAAATTCCTTGCGGGGCTCAAAGGCCCCCGGGGGTCCCCAGAAGGGAAACAATCGCCACATCCACTTGAGCAGCGAGGTGATCTGAGTGATGACCACCACCACGAGGATCATGATCGCCAGGCTAATAATGGTATTGGGCCACAGGTCCCCCATTGTTGTCGCTCCCATGATATGAGACATCTCTTCTAGTCCATAAGTGGCATTGAACGCATAGATGCCATCCTCGACCCCAGGATAGGTGAATTGATGCGTGATCGGACCATTTGCATAGATCAGGGACGACCAGGCGAGTTGGCTAACTACCGGTCTGAAGAAGCCAGGATACAGCAGAGTGAGACAGCCGGACAAGAACACAAATTGAATGTACTGCAGACATTCCCCGATGCCAGGAAGCGCCGATTCGGCCGGGTCGTAGGAGCTGTTGGCGATTTCATAGCGGAACATGCTTGACTGGCGACCCATATAGAATTTGATCCCGGCCGCAATGATTCCAGAGAACAGCATGATGGCCAGGGGAATTCCCAATATGAGATTCTTGGCCGTGGAACCCAGATCAGAGGTGATATTGGCGGCGATGCAGGCCACTTCTGTGCCATTGTTCAATCGAAGGCGAATGGTCGTGGCGAGCGTGCTGAACCTGTGAGGGCTATCCAGAGAGTAGGACATCAGGTACTTCGAGTATGTTCGAAGGTCAGACCTTCGGCGGTTAGCATTGTGTGTATTACAAGTCTGCAAAGGAATCGATTACCGTAGACCATCGTCGGGCAGAATGGTCGGACATCTCCCACTCGTCTCGGCCTGGACCCCAACGGGGCGACCCAGGACACTGACATTGACGATGGGCTCTGCAAACTCGCCTTCCAGGGCGTCGCAGTCATCGGGGCCGACATAATCGCCGTATAGCTTGAGGGATAGCGTCGTCGTATCCGATACATGGAGGCCACCACTCAGACTGTCCGGGGTAAAGATGCCAGGGACTACGGATTCTGCGCCGGCCGGAGCACATGGAAGCCTACGAATGAACGCAGCTAGCCCGACCTGTGACCACAGCAGCACGAGAGTCAGCATCGACATCAGCATGTTGTATGACGATCTGCATGACGATCAAGAGGACGAAGTATGGCAATCTCTCTCTTCCAGAAGAGAACGAAAATCTGCAGCTGGGCGGAGTGGGTCGGCGCTGCTACTGGCTCGCCAGGAGTCCACCCTCTAAAAATATCTGAGCCGAGGTCCAATCGACAAGTGTTCAAGGGGGCCCCATTCGCAGTTCAACCGCTCCGATTGATGGAAGTCCACCGTGTATAGTGGAGCGCTCCCCGCAACGTGTTTCGAATAGGTAACAATCGTCGGACATCCGCCGAACGGGTAAGGCGTGGTTCCTTGATTAGCTGCCTGACAGTTCAGGCAGCAGAAACGGCTCAACAAAGGATAGTCCTCTCCATCAACTTCACGTTCTTTGAGAGCATGCGATGACTGTGTCGACATTCCACCAGATCCAATTACAAACTCGTCAGACGTTATAATTATATCTAAAGGTCGCAAAACCATCAATAGGCTCGTTTATCCAAGAACATGGACGGCGGTATCCCCCCCCTTGTTCGTGAGAGAAGAAAACCAAGGCCTTTTGCAGTTCGTGTTCAGCCACCTGAAACCAGGGCGATCTTCGGCTCTTGAACACTAATTGCCATTCGTTGGCCCCTGCAGAAGAGAAAGCGCCCCAAAGAAACTGTTCCATCATCGGAATATGTTCTCTGACGATCATCTCGTGAAAGTGACACGAATAGAAATCTATGCAGCTCGCAACATGTTACTCAAAAGAGACACGAAGATCCAATATCTATGTCAAAACCATGTGCAACATGAAATAGGATCAGCAGTTTGTCTTGAGTTCAATGCTAAACATAAATACTCCGTCTTGCGCTTCGAATAGAAATATCATCACGGCAAAAGTACACACACTCAAGACAACGGAAAATATCTTATTCAATTAAATCTGCCTTCACATAGAGCCATGAGATTCACCACCGCCCTCCTCCTCGGCGGCTTTACCTCCAGCGCCCTGGCCACCCACAGCTTTTTCCAAGCTCCTCGAAACTCCAGCAGGCCCGAAATTGGCAAACCAGATATCGGAAAGCAGGTCCTTGACAAGGCCATGACTGCCGCTGGAATTCCCTACGCATGGGGCGGAGGCTCTTGCGACGGCCCTTCTGAAGACCAACCGCCGTACCAGTACGGCGATATTGGATACGACTGCTCGGGGCTGGTCTGCTGGGCTGTCTGTCAAATCACCGGACGGGACCTCTTCACTGAAGGCCTTCGCGTGACGTCCGACATGTACTGTGCGTCGGAAACGACTTTGAAATATAAGTGTGTACCATGATATATGCCTATATTGGAGGGAGCAGACACTGATCAGATCGATAGAAAATACCCCTATGAGGAACGCAAGGCAGGCGACGCCATTTTCTTTGGTGGAGAATGCGACTGTGCTGATAGTAGCAGTATCTATCATGTTGGGTTGATGATGTATGTTTTTGTTTCGTTCTTCCTATCCAGTGACGAGGACTAACAATCATAGGGACTCGGGCGATCGCATGTGGAATGCTCCTAATGATCGCGTCAACAGGGTCCAGGAAAACAGCATCGCTGGTTTCGGAGATACGCCTTGCCCTTATGTGGTTCGGTTTGCTTAGGATGTTATTATATTCTATATGGAAAGGGGGAGGGGTTCCTTTACGATTGCTCAGACATTAACTGTAGTTTATTAGAGCCAGTCACTCGCTTGAACAAGGTCAATGATAAACAACCGACCTATCATCATGAAAGTTGCGTCGAGAGCAAAAGAAAACCAGCTGAGTAGAACCTATACGGAGTACGGAGTACGGTGAACGGGGGAAATCCGCACGATCCCACTCGTATCGAGACCCTTCCACGATCCTGCAATAATCAACCTCCTACACTCACTGGCCTGCATATTGCAAAAATCCGCAAATTTGCATTAGGTTGGAACTAGGTTTTTATACCGTAAGAAACATAGAAGCATCATATAAATAATGATCGAATCTGAGTGCTCAGTAATTTGAATACAGCATATATGGCGGTATTTAATTCTCTTGGTACTCGAAATCTTTGCAATATGCAGGCCAGTGAGTGTACACCGACGGCGCACTAGCCTCCTCAACAGAGAAAATTCGGCCTAGAAGGGCGACTAAAACTCCAGCCAAGACCAGACTAGAACGGACTTTTCACCCTCACAATCTGCAATTCGCCCATCACCCGTTAAGTCCTAGACCTAGAGAACCCGGCAATGCGAAATGCCACGCTAACAGCCAGGGACCGTTTTTGGCCCCTATGAGGCTATCCCTCTAGAATGCTGGGTCTGCAGAACTGACAGGGGGCTCATTCCGTACTCCGTAGTTTAATCTGTATGTTTTCCCTTCTATTTGATGTGTGAGACCGCCCGTTTCCCCTTTATTTGTCCCCGCGGGTCGGTTTGACCTGGGGCTTCCTGTCCAACAACATCATGACAATCTCCAACAGTTTCCGATCAACAATATCCACGACGTTCGTTCTCTTGGGTGGGGTTCTATTCTCCAAGCAGGTTTCCTCTCTCGCCGTGACAGGATCCTCCTCATGCACGGAAACATGCGGCAGCGGCTTCACCTACTCCACGGACCTCGTCTGCACCGACTCCGCCTTCAACAGTACATCGAAGGGCCTAAAGCTAAAGAACTGTCTGCTCTGTGAAAGCACCAGCACAGCGTATAGCTCGCCAACACAGAACGATATCTACTGGTTTCTCTGTATGCGATCACCCCCCCGAACTCCGAACATTTCAACACATCCACTAACTGCGATTGATCCCCCAGTCAACCAGAAATACATCCTTCAAGACTGTCTTTTCGATCGCGAATCCGACGTCTCGCTCTCTCCATGTGAATCTTCCTGTCTACCGCTCAAACCCGTGCTCAAGACACTTTGGTTCCAGAAGGAATGGGTCCCGCAGTACGAGTACTGCGATATGGGCGGCGGCGCGTTGGAGACGTATGCGGGTGATTGCGCGGATTGTTTGAGAGGGAAAACGGGGTCGGTGTTTTTGGGGAATTGTGAGTACTATCTATACCTTTATATTTTCTGTCAAGTGCAGTTGATGCAATTAAGTCCGATGAGTTAAGCGATGCTAACAATCTGCCTCTAGTCATGGATACTTTGAATTCAGGATGTCAGACGAAACCGAACGCATCAGACGGTGAGACAGTGAAGTTGCGACAAGCGCTCTTCGCTACAGAGACATCTCTCTCAACAACAACGAGTACCGGCGCAACTGGAACAGCAACAAAACCCACCACGACCTCGACATCAGCCTCAACTTCTACCTCCACCACAGCCGACGCATCATCAACCCCAGCCCAAAACACAAATACTCAGTCGGAATCGGAAACAGGATCAAGCGGCCTCTCCCCCGGCGCAGCAGCAGGAATCGGCGTCGGAGCCGGAGCAGGCGGCCTAATCCTGCTCGCAGCGCTAGTCTGGGTATTTTTCTTGCGACGGCACAAAGCGCAGAACGACGAGAAATACATCCCGAAGTGGAATGATGAGAGTACGAGTAGTTTGAAACGTGACGGGCCGCCGACGGAGATGCCGGCGTCCCGGTTTGGTAATCCGCAAGATCTAGAGGGGGGCATGGTGAGGGCTGAGTTACCGGGTTCTTGATGAATTGAAGGTCAATGATGAGCTATGCTTGCTTGCTTTCATCGTAAATTTAAGCGATAGCAAATCCATACATACATACATAATATACCCTTGCACTCCATCCAGACATCTCTTCACCCTAAACCTCCTACATATCCCACTAACCAACTCCATCGAATAACATAAAAAGAGAAGTATCACCTCCAAGTCGCATCCACGGTAACACTCCCCCCCTGACAACCGCCAGGAACAGTAAACTTACGATTCGGACCACTTTCCCAAACCCAGCTCCCAGCCGCGGTCTTCTTCACGAACTTAAACTCGAACTTGGATCCCACGGGCAACGAAACCGTCCCCTGCCACAGCGGATTCGACGCTGTGTATCCATCGGCTGATAGCTTGACGCCGTTATCCGGAGTCCAGTTTCCAAGCTGACTGATCGATCCGGTCAGGTAGATATTTTCGCCGTAGGACGTGGTGACGAGTTCTTTGAAGAGCACGGAAAGGGATGTTGCGGCCACAGCGCAGGTGGTGGTGGGCTTTGCGGTGGTAGTAGTGGTTAAAGTTGTAGATGGACCGGTGGAGCCACAGAGTCCGCTGCCGCTGAGCCAGGAGGAAGGGACGAGAGCACGAGGCTGTCCCGATGCCATGGGGACTGCGAGGGAGCCGCCGGAGCCGGCGGTGATGGTCGTGCAGGTGTACAGTTCCGTCAAGCTCGCGCCGGATAAGTAGCCCGTGTTGCTGAGGGTTAGAGTGTAGGAGGAGCCCGAGGAGCCGCGGTTGCTGAGGACAGTGATGACAGATGTGCTGGAGGAGCCTTTGCGCATGGCGAGTGTGTTGGAGTCTTGATAGAAGGGGGTGTTCTGGATTTGGGATTAGATTATGTTTCATCGTCGGGAATGGGGAAAGATGGTGAAGGGTGAGAGAGGGAAGGAGGGCCTACTCGAGCTGTGATGTATCCTGAATCCTTCGCCACAGCTAATCGACGGATTGCGTTCGTGCGCGATATGAAGGTATACAGCTCCGAGGAGGTCGAGTAGCCAGATAGCCAAGTGGCTTCACGGTTCGCGGGGTCTTCGCCGCCGCCGTAGTGCTGTTCCTGACCGGCGTAGATGATGGGGATGCCGTCGGAGAGGAAGAGGAAGGAGATGACGTTCTTGGCTTGGGAGTAGTCACTCGTGTAGCTGTACAGGTTTATGTTAGGAAGGGGTCAATGAATCAGGTAAGAAGAGGTATCATACTGTGCAAATCGAGGATTATCGTGGTTTTCGATAAAGTTTCCAAGCAAAGTAGGGTCTGAGCAGCTGGAGGCTACTGAGTTGATCATGTTGTACAGATCGCCGATGCTGCCACTAGAGGATTGGAATGCGCGAAGCAGGGGATAGTAGCTCGTCTATAGTTAGTGGAAAGTGCAAGTAATGGATGTCTGAATACTCACATTGGATAATTCAACACGCCATCCATGTAGTTCTGGTAAGGACAGGTATACGCCGGGTCACCCTGAAAGATCTCTCCGACACAATAGACACCAGCAGCGCTATTGAATCCCGGCCAGAAAGACTTTTCCACATGTTTGACGGTGTCGACTCTCAGGCCATCGACTAGGAGTTGTCAGTATGTAGTCAATCATCATGGGTGGCAGACGCACTGGAGTATTTCGAAACAAGATCCTTGATCCAGTCATACCAGATCGTCCGCACATTCGACTGCGATGTATCAAGATCAGGAAGGGAGACAGTGGTATCTCCTAACCAGCAGTTTTCTACGTTGGATTGATCATTGTAGTTTGAGATCAAGCAGTAGGAGTGGAAGTAGCTGGAGGAGCTGAAGGGTTTGAAGACGCCGTAGTCGACCGAAGATCCGATGCCTTTGTAACCCTGTATGCCAGATTAGCGAATCACTCGATGACATCAGTAAGGCATAATGCATACCATGTGGTTAGGAACCACGTCCACCATCAGATACATTCCCCGTTTGTGCAGCGCATCGGCCAGACTCTTCAGGTCATCGGAGGTGCCTAGCTTAGAATTGACTTCGTATCTGTGGAGGTAAGCAGTCATCCAGAATATAAACAGGCAGATCATTGTCTTACATATTCTGCTGCCAATACCCATGATACGACGTTCCGTCGCCAGTGTTGTCATAGAATTGATCCGTCACAGGGGTGATCCATATAGCCGTGAATCCCATCCCTTGGATATAGTCCAGCTATTCACAGATGAATATCGAATTTGATCAATAAATTCGCATCTCCTACCTGATTGATAATTCCCTGCCAGGTCCCGCCACAATATTCCTAGAAAACCATCATTAGGGATGTCTCCATGAGAAAATCACGATAACCACCTACGCGCTTATTCACGTCACACGAAGCGGAGGTGGACTTGTCCGTCCGACCAAATCGATCCGTCAAGAGGAAGTAAATCGACTGGGAGCGCCATTCCGCAGGCGACAAGGACAGCACTGGTTCTGAGAAAAGAAGCAGCGCCGTCAACAAGGCGTAGAGGTACTTCATCTCGTAGTCAAGTAAGAGGATTGTTCAGGCTTGAAACATGTGCTCGAACACGACTATTCAACGTGCGACCAACATCCCCCTTTTATATCCCTTCTTCTACCAAGCCAAGCATTCCGAGTCTTCACAGAGTCAAGAACCAAATCCTCTCTGTATACCAAATAAGCCCGGAGCTACATCCGCGTAACCCAAACCAGCCCAACTTAATACAATCCAACTGCTCATGCGCACCATCACCATGCCACATGGCCCCGGGATAATCGGCTGTCAGCCCACACTAACAATCGTCCTGCAAACCGCGCAAGGATCACACCTCCAGTACAAACCAACCAATTCCCGAACTTCCCCGCAGAATTCTTCAGAACCCGAAAATGCCGGAGGCATCAGACCATTTCGCTAGGAAAGAACCAGGTACGGAGAATCATCGGGGAAGTGATTGGACGGGGAGAGTTGCAGCTTACAGCAAGGGGCGAGTCGGCAATGATGTCCTTCGCTGGACGAGGAGTGGCGCTTAGATTGCCTTAGCGTGTCTAGAAGGGTTTGGGAGGTGGCGTTCGGTGCGGAGAAATTGATGATGCTGGGATTGGGTGGTACACGATGTCGGGCCGGGGTCGTTGGTTTATTTTGCCCTGGACATTGGCATTGTTTGAGGCATTTATAATTTATGAGGAGTAGGAGGATGTCTATTATAAGAGAGTTGAGAGTCGGCAAGATGCCAAGGTCATAGTCCACATAGCCTATATATTACTGTTCTTTAATGTTCTTGGATAACTACGAAAGTGAATTGAAGAGAGAGAGAAAGAGAAGCAATCAATTCCCCTTAAGCAACAACATCTTCCCCGCTCAACCTCCCAACCCATCCAACATACACACATCTTGTCACTCTTCCTATATACACCCAAAAAAGCCCTCCCTCTATTTCTCCACCCCCACAACAACGGCACCAACCTCTCTTCTCCTCCTGATTCTCCCCGCAGGATCATGCTCAGCATCCCAACTCGCCACCTGCTCCCGGGGTATCTTCACCAACTTATGCGCCACTGCACCGCCATCCAACTTCAGTATCGTTTGTCGGAACTCGTATCCCCCGAACCGCGGCAACACCTTAATATAGATCCAATAGTAGGCGCCGCAGGCTGCGATGCTATATCCCCGGTTTCGTTAGCATTGACATTAGATTCTTCTGGAAACCGAATCGACGGTTGATCAAAGACACTGCATAAACAGGAGACTCCTGACAGAAAGGGAAGATGAGAGATATAGATGGAAGGGAAACATACATAGCCAACCCCACGACCAGGTACGTGCCGTACCAGAAACTAACATCTCCGCCGGTAGCGCCCCCGTCGGGTGGATACCATGGCGCGACGAGCAGATAGAGGTTCGAGATGATGGCGAAGCCGACAACGAGGTGCCAGGCGCTGTAGCCGGAGTTGGGGAAGTTGAGGCGTTTGCGGTAGTATCGGGTGAAGATCAGGCCGATGGCTAGGAGGAAGTTGAATAGGTTTGAGGGGTACATGCTTAGATCGACGACTTCATCGATTTGGGGAGTTTGTTAGACTAGATATGGGATTGAAAGCTGAAGGGAGGAATTAGGAGAAGGGAACGAACCGAAGTTAAACGCATCGCCGGCTGGAGGAGCTAGAATCATGATCACCGTGAGGCCCCATTTCAGGGTATATGGGCCCAAGGGAGTACCGAAGGGGCGCGTGGAGGTCCAGAAGCGGGTGAAGGGGAGGACGCCTTGTCTGGGTGAGTTTAGTATATCAGTTTAGATGAAGCCGTAAGGGTAAAAGGGCTCTTACCTGCCACATTCGCGAAGCATACGAGATTGACCGATCAACACGGCCAGCAAATTCCCGAACGCGCTGAGACAGATAAGGAAGTTCAGGGCGCGAGAAGCACCACCGGAGCCGAAGACTTTCTCGAAGAACAGGCTGGCGACGCCGATTTCCGAGTCCAGGATCTCTTGCTTCGACGCGACGCTGAAATAAGCGATGTTGGCGAGGACGTATAGAGTGGCCGTGAGGGTCAGCGAGAGGGGAGCGCTCCATCGAAGGGTTCTGACCGGGTCCTGTAGAGAGCTGGTCAGCTGTGAATGCGAGGTTTATATCCAGAGAGGTAATGCATACTTTGACCTCGTTGACTACGTTGAACGCGTTCTCGTATCCCATGTACGAAAACATCACCTTAACCAGGGCATTTGTGGCACCGTAGACCGACGCATCCGAGGTGCCTTCGAACGCGTTCCGGAAGTTGACTTTAGGATCGGGGATGGAGGAGACATTGCCCCCGAGGACGACGAGACCGCTGATGCCGATGCTATGATGTATAAGTATCTGCTGAACAGGAGCCGCTGGATAGCTGCGCATGAACATACAAAACCAAAGTAATAAGCTTGACAACGCCGATTGCGTTAGCCAGATGAAGAGACCATTTCGTATTAAACGCGAGAACTAACCCGTCAGCATTCATCATCGTCAAATATGATAACAGACCACCAACCTAGAAACGCGACACTATAAGACGCCACGGCGACGCCTTTCAGTTGCCAATCCGTAGGCTCCGACTCAGCCAATTTAAACAAATACTGCGCCAGCACTAAAGAATCAGCCGATCAATGCGACAATCCAAACACACAGGGGTATCCGATCCACCTACCAACGGCATTACTACTACTGAACGAGAAAAGCACCGTCTGCATCGCAAACACCGTCGGAAAGAAATACTTCGGTCGCGGATATGACTGTTCCAGATACACGACCTCCGACCCGGATCGACTAGGGAAATAGGACACGAACTCGAGATAGACGGCCAGCATGCTGTAGGCGACCAGGTATCCGATCACCCAGTAAAAGAGAGCCAGACCCACAGAGCCAGCGCCGCTGAGAACGGAGGATGCTATACGCCCGAACTAATCGTTAGCGAGCTACCACTGCTTTATCTCCAGCAGAGAGGAAAGAGAAGAAAGGGCCACTCACGCGTCGTAAAAACACCAGTCCCGATCATTTTACTCAGATTCAGAAAGATGACAGTCACATAGCCCACCGAATACCCCAACGGCGAATCCACTTCGATCGGGGCCCCGCTAGCCTCTTGATAGGTGATATCGTTCGAGTTAAGTCCGCCCTCAGCAGTATAATGCAAACTGCCATTGTCGATGATACTGGCATTATCAGAGCGTTCATCCTGGTCGAGCACGGTCGCCTTCGACTTCATAAAGGAGAACCCCATAGCCGCAAGATTTACCACTGCTCAGCTGGCGTGGGAGAAAAGAATTGCCGATCGTAGTGGAGATAAAGGGGGAGATGTGGGGAGAAAAAAGTCGCCTTAAGTATCTCCCCGAGATAACAGACCTGCAGATAGAGGCAGCATGCTCATCGCAAAATGCAATGGCGTGACAGCCTTGATTATCTGCGTCTTGTCCAACCATATGCGCAAGGAGATCGACTACAAGGGGTGGGATGGAAGCCGAGGTTGTCCATGCGGAAGTGTATTTAGAGTGGCCAAGGCTTGTCGTCTGCTCAAGGTGACCCCTTCAAGCGGAGAGAAGTGGTGAAATCGCGGCTAGGGTTACATTGACAAGATCTTGGGAGACTAAAAGGGATCATCGTGGCTGGCAATGGCGAATCCACTACGTTGAGTGGTTTGAATGTCAGACCCTAAACGAGGCCCGTAGTTACGGAGGAAGTCAAGGAACAGAAGGAACAGAAGGTTAAGCTCCCAGGGAGCAACTACAAACTGAAGAAACCATATCCCTCCCAGGGCAAGAGAGAGAAACTACAGTGATTTTATGAAAGATCGACTGAATAGCAACCACGGGGTGATAACGGGATTGCACGATTGCAGGGAAGAATGACAGCATCGTTGTCGCCATTTCCTCCCATTCTTGGCCTTGAAAATGTCACCGGCAGCCAGTGAGCTCGAGGCTTGGGAGCGCTTGGCTGCATAAGCCGGTTTTACGCTTATCGGGGAGACGTCGTCGTCTCGCATGGAAGTCGATTTTTATATTAGGTTAAATGAGAAAGATGACAAAAGCAAACAATTTAAGTCCAAAAAAGATGGCCCACATACCGCAAACTCCAAGATGAACGAACGCTAATCCATAAGAAACCAGGCTAAGTCCATGAAACACGCTGGATATCGGCAGGAACCTGCCAATTGTGCGCCTGACAAACTCGCATGTATGCATCTATGGCCTCACACACGGAATAATCCACCGTGTTCCCCATTTCAAGCCGTGCAGGCCGAGGGTCCGTGCTGGTGATGGCCATGCGAACCTGTAACAAGACTCCCTCAATACTGGAGACCGGGGACCACCCCGACGAAGTGAGGAGTTCCATGCAAAGCGCTCCCCCCGCTGTGATATGCCCGCCACCTCCTTGGCTGAACATGACAAATCGCGGGCGGATAACTCGCACGAACGGTGGGGACATGGGGAACTGCGGAGGGAAGCGGAGCTCCAGCACGACGCTCGTGAGGCCCAGCTTCTTCAGGTCTTGGGCCAATGGCAAACCAGGTGGAAAGCTGTGTAGCTCTACAATCCATTGATAGACATTTTCGATCAGGTGGTGATTCATGTACCATCCCAGTTCATGTAATGGTTCCCTCTCCTGCACCTTCAGTGTCTCCTGTAAGCGCTGTTGCAGGGCCTTCGTGGCTTGAGTGGTTGCATACTGAGGTGGTCCTAGTAGCTTGACCGATTCTTCCCGCAGAGTTCCCGGACGGAAGTCTGTTAGCAATGAGGACTCTTGCCGTTGACGATTGTAGAAATCGCCTTCCCCGTATTGTTTCTGGAGGTCTTCTTCGGTGCCCCAGTCCAATAACATGCGATCTTCTAGCAGTGTAATAACACTACTGGTATCATCGTCATTGTCCTTACTGTCCTTGGCTAACGATTTCACCTGCTTAGCACGGCCACCCACCTTGGGCAGACCGTTAGCCGCAGCCATCCGGCGACTGCTCAGTGCAGAGAGAGGAACGGCAACAGCTTTCCCCTGACACCCCAATGCTGGATAATTGGGGTCTTGAACATACTCAGGCTTGGCGGTGGTAGCGTCGGAGGTTTTACCGGAGTCCATTGACTGAACAAACAGATATCGCGGCTGAATCCAGTCTAGCTGACGAACAACATAGCAGGCGCTGGATTGGACAAACTCCGCGGGAGCATTCACCACCTCGTTCAATGCTATGGCCTTTGAAACCTTTAGCAGGCTATTGGGCCAGGTGCCACTACCGCTCCTGTAGGCGTCCGTGTAGGAAAGTGAGTAGTCAAACCGATTTGACATGTATACGCCATCTCCATAAGCGCGGCCGTGTGCCGTATACTTGAAATGTAGCCCTTCTCGCAGGATGCTGTGCCAGTTATGCAGCGCGCTACCATGCCAGGCGAAAAGGGTGGAATGCTTGAGCTTGAGACGTTCCGTTGTAGAGCCCACAGCGTGCACGAATCGATGCTCCTTGTCCGGGGCTCCTTGAGCCAATCGAAACTGCATCCACCCAGGGATACCGGAGACACGGTCCTCGGGATTCTCCTCGTACATAATACAAGACCTATTGGACGCAACAATCCATCGGAGCACATATAAGGCGGCCGGGGATATCCGCTCAGTCCACGTTGCTAGGGATCGTTCGGAGACTCGTTCACCAGTCAAAAACGATCGCATCAAATCGACGTCGGGCAGAGTGTCGAGAAGCATGCAAATGGATTCCCGTTTATTTTTGTCTTCCAGTGTGTCGAAGTCTTTGTCGTACACGATGAAGCGAACATCGGGTGTCATATCCAGCGTGGTCGAGTTAGACGGACGGATGGGAGAAGCGAGCTCGTAAGTAGGCGCGTAAACACTGCTCATCACTCGGCAGTGCCACTGGGATTTAGTATCTAGTTGATTTGGGTTCTCAGTATCCTTCGCCAGGACGATCCAATCGCCGGCTTTGAGGGCGACTGAGTCGTACACTTGGAGCCGCATGTTCACGAGATCCAATTTTCCTGAATGCACCGACTCATGGGAAGCTTCAATTGTGCAGGGAATTTTGAGGCCAAGGCCAGTAGGGAAGTCGGCGAGATGGCCCACCGAGGCTCTTGCGTACGCGAAGCTAACCAGAATGTCAACAACATAGGGCTGCGACAATATCTCCCACTCGAGATTTGGGCCCATGCCGAGCTTCATGTATTGATAGAGGCATAAGCCTTTGGAGCAAACATAGGGCTTCAGCGCTTCGAATCCACTTTCGATCTTGCAGTAACAGTTGAGGCAGAAGCCTACGCACTTCACAAACCGGCGCAAGGTGAATTGCATTGCCAGTAAAGGGAACGACAGCGAAAGTGTGTTCCAGTTAAAATCGTAGACATGGTCGGCTTTCAGAAAATCAGGTGTCGACTCGTCCCACTGCTCAGGGACATGATACTCCGGTCGCACAAAATCTTGTGCCTCTTTGTCTTGGATACGGCCTTGATTATTGTTGAGAAAGAGCTCTGCGCCTGTCCACGTGAAGCCATGGTCAAGCCGGTAGGCGAGCAAGTTGACGAAGTGATTATTGAGCAGAGATTGGAGTGAGTGGCCAATAAAGATAGGCTTCAAAGATGCTCCTGGGTGCTGAATTTTCCCATTGTTATCGGAGGACGGTTTGCTCGAGGCGTTGAAAAGCTTCCGGGCTTCATCCAAGCTGGGTTTGTACCTCTCACACGCACCAACCTGCATCTCCACGACGGAAGGATTCCCTGAGCAGGATCTGACGATGATTTCCTTCAACTGAATGTACCCTTGCGGATATCGAAGGAGGAGCACGAGGTGGTCAGAGGGGGAAACATTCCAGGCCTTCATGGCCTCGACGGAGATGCCAAGCTTGGCGATGCGGCAGGAGATCGATATTATCACGGAGCCAGTTACATGGCCCAGATAGCCAACCCTGTATCCTGCCTCCTTGGCGATGCGCAAGTCCTCTCGAATCTCCGATACGACCGTCCGAGCATCTCGTCGAACACCTATAAAGACAGTCTCGTCGTATTCCCAGTCGGCTTCGTCTTCGTTCTCAGACAGGCCCCCTATCTCGCTGTCAACGTCATCCTCCACGTCAATCTCATCGATGGAGCCGGTGGTCGAAGCAAGGTCCAGAATTGCGGTATCAAGGCACTTGCTGAAATATTCAAGAAACTCTAACACGGTCAAAGCGCAATCTGCCGGTTGAAACTGTTCTAGAGCGGACGAGACTGCCTCTGGGATGGTATCTGACGCTGCAAAAGCAAAATAGGTGTGATATTTGGGGTACTGTGAAGTATCTGGAACGGAGACTTGAAAGTCAATTGTTTGGGTGTCGAACGGCGCCGTATAGGTGAAGAAAATCGATCCGTCCTCGTCGCCAGATCGCACGTCATGTAGATGTGCAAATAGACATGGCACCGAGGCCCTGGCAAGATCTCTCTGGAAATCTCTGCGGGGCATGTTGAATAGGATATGCAATCGATGAAACCGTAGGAATAGAGAATGAGGGAGAAAGATAGCCTCATTCATCAAGCACCCCAAGGCTGCAGCAGGGGGCTTGGCTGGCTTTTGTATTGCAGCCTAGAAGTAAGAATCCAGCATCCAGGCAGGAAATCCAAGGAAGGGAAGGAAAAAGCCCCTTTGCATTGTCTTCCCGATGAATGAAGGTCACCGAACAATGGAGGTGAGCTCGGGATAAGGAAAGAAGAAGGGAGAAGAGGGAGAGGAAGACGAACAAACGACGACATCAGCCTGACCTGGGCCCGCCCAATGTGGTTAAGCGCAGATTCCCGCGCAAACAATCGAAGTATAAAGGTACCTTCCCACCTGCCCTGCCTGCCCCGGCGGTCGCCTTCGTTCCTTGGGCCGGAACAACCCCCTGGCGAAATCGAATTCTTTAATTTTTGGGCTTTGCGTTTAGCCATCACTGCCAGCCTGTAGAGGGTGATTCCTCTCAATGCAACCCGGGGTCTAGCTAGTGTATGTACCGCCCAGGTACCCGCAAGTGATCGAACGGGCGGAACTCATTCGACGGCCAATGGGGAGCTTCCTGAGAAGATAAAGACGTGAGAATATCCGGTGCACTACTTCGGGGAGACTTTGGTGGACATTTGAGGACATTTGAGGACAGGCCTGGATGCTACGAAGGTAGGGTCACGTGTTCTACGCCTGTAACTATAGATATGGTACTATGTGAGCCACAGGTCAGATCGAGACCTCTTCGATGCTCTTCAAACAGACGTACGATCATCCTGGAGAATGCGATATCCTAGGAATTTACCCGATGTCTTTCAAGTCGTTAACAAATAACGAATATAATTCTAACTAGAAGATAGTATATCCGAACCTGCCATTGACTGTGGACAACTGTCGACTGTTTACAACTCCGCACAGGAGCTAAAAATAGCTTGTCCGACAGGGATGTATCCTCATATCGACCAACGATAAACATGCAAGGGATAATATGAGTGAAGCATAGGTATTGAGATTCCAAACACTTACAATCTTCTACATTAATTATCCAATACTCAAGCCACTGCTAATAACCCCAAGAACCCCGCAAAATCTCCTTCTCCCCGCTAGTCAAATAGTGACATCCTCGGTACGCTGCAACCCCAATCACACGGTATCTGCCCAGGGTATCATTGACAGCGCCGATCATGGCTTTTCTCCAGCGGGGACAAATTGATGCATCTCGTCTAGTCCAAATATCAACGAGCGACATGTCGACCCCGCTTACTAGTCCTGTGCATAACCCCGTCCATATAACCACACTCGACCCCTAACGCCTCCGACAGAAACATGTCTAAGATCTCCATCCCAAGTAAAAGTCCAAATGTCCACCTCCACTAGTCTCACAATCCCAGTCCTCATCTTCCTCGCCAACATGACTCCCCTTGGAGTCCTCGCCTCCTCCCCACCCCTTCTCCCGACACCCCCTATGGGTTTTAACAACTGGGCCCGGTTCATGTGCGACCTCAACGAAACCCTCTTCACCCAAACGGCCGACACCATGAGCGCCAACGGCCTCCTCGCCGCCGGCTACAACTGGATCAACCTCGACGACTGCTGGATGACGAAGACCCGTACCCCGAACGGCTCCTTACAATGGAACTCGACGCTCTTCCCACACGGAATCCCCTGGCTCGGCGAATACGTCAAGGCGCAAGGCTTCCGCTTCGGCATCTACGAAGACGCGGGCAATCTCACCTGCGGCGGATACCCCGGGTCATTGGGCCACGAGTTGCAAGACGCCCAGACCTTCGCATCCTGGGGAATCGAGTACCTCAAACTAGACGGATGCAACGTCTTCCCCGCGGGGACAAAAGGCCGGAAAACTCTACAAGACGAATATAAACACCTCTACGGACTCTGGCATGACATTCTCACGGGGCTCGAACAACCCATGATTTTCTCGGAATCCGCCCCCGCGTACTTCGCAAACAATCCAACCCTCTCGGACTGGTATACCGTTATGTCCTGGGTGCCCGAGTACGGGGACCTGGCGCGGCACTCGACCGACATCCTGGTCTACGCGGGGAACGGTAGCGCATGGGCCAGCGTGATGGAGAATTACGAGTTTAATACGCGATTGGCGAGATACCAACGTCCTGGGTATTACAATGATCCGGACTTTCTAATCGCCGATCATCCCGGGTTGAGTTTGGATGAGAAACGATCGCAGTTTGCGCTGTGGGCGTCGTTTGGTGCGCCCTTGATTATAAGCGCGTATGTGCCGGATTTGACGAGTGATGAGTTGGCGTATTTGTTGCATGCCGGGTTGATTGAGATTGATCAGGACGGGATGGTGCAGCAGGCGACGCTAGCGGGGAGGGACGGAGTGGTGGATGTGCTGACGAGGAGTTTGGAGGGGGGAGATCGCGTGGTGACGGTTTTGAATCGGGGGGATGAGAAGGAGAAGAGGAGGGTGTCGGTGGAGGTGCTGGGGTTGGAGAGAGATTGTGTATATGAGGCCGTGGGGGTGTGGGATGGGACAGAAGTGAAAGTGCGGGAGTTTGTGGAGGTGGAAGTGGCATCGCATGCGACGGAGGTTTATCGATTGCGGGTGCCTAAGGACTGCAGAGAGGTCATTCCAACGGGCATTGTGTTCAATACAGCATCAGGGAAGTGTTTAACTGGGAATGAACATGGAAAGGTGACATTTGAAGCGTGCAAGGGAGAGGAAACCCAGGGCTGGCAGGCTCATACATCTGGACAGTTGCGGCCGCTGGCGCGGCTGGACAGGTGCTTGAGTAGCGACGGGAAGTCTCTCTCGCTTGAGTCCTGTGGGGGTGAAGATCATCAAAAATGGTCTTATGGCATGTCAGGGAACTTGAAAAACCTGAAGACAGGGAGATGTCTAACGGAGGGAACGGGGGTCGACAAATGTGGCGTAGAGTTGGACAAGCAGGTCTTTGGGTTACCGAGTGGTGTGCAAGTGAAAGACAAAGAGTAGACTTTTAGACGTACAGCTCATGCCTTGGTGATGAAATATATGGCTATTGAATTAGGGGGTGTGGTTATGTATTGATGTGTCTCCGAGAGAAGAGACGAAGATTTATACAGATAAAACCACGTGATTAGGGCAAGCATTATTCTGTTCTAGATAGAATGACCGCTCCAATCAACAGAAAGTCCCATCTACTTGGTGCAACTGTTTCTTTGGGAACTGAAAGGAGAAATAACAGTGTCCGGACCCGAGATGGGGGTCACCTTCTGAACGACCGAAGTAATGAAATTGGGGGCCTCCTACAGCTGGCCACCGCAAACAATATGCTATCAGGTTTCTTGATCGGGACAAGATGGCATCCCTTGAAACCGACAGATGATAGGGGGATTCGAGATGCGAGCTGCCCTTGGCTGATGCATTGCTGCATCGTCCATAGCCACATGGCACGTCGGGACATGTTCCCTCGCTGGGACGTAAGGCTGAAACATAATCAACCAAGGTCAGCAATGGAATGAAGAAGGGACATCTTGGATTTAGGCTGACCGAAAACAGGATCGTCAGTTGCAACTCCCTCATATCTCGATAATTGGCATCATCATCGCCAAGGATCCTGGTTAGAAATCGATGCCTGATCCTACTGGGTAGAGACCGAGCGACCGAATCATCATTCTGCGATACATCATCCACCCACTTTCTAGTCTCGTTAGCTAAATAGACACGGTGAGGATCACATCAGCTAATAAGAAATACCCAACGCCCTGTACGCCCCACAAGCGATGTCACAGCCACGCCCGCCTTGGCTCATGTCATGATCCCGATCCACTGTTCGGCCCCGAAGGCGTGGATGGATTGCCACCGATACTGCCCCATGCGGAAATCCAGTTGGCCAAGATTGTTTGTATTTTGTATCTTCTACACGTGGAGTCGCTGCGTTTACCCCGGACAAGGAATAAATGATGCTGATGCCAAGAGAGGTTTATTTGGGCGCCTTGTCCAGGATTGCCTCGCCCCGCCGTCATATTCTTGTCTAACGATAAAGAAGGATTCTTGGATCGCATGGTTAATGGCGCAGTTGAGATGGAAAAAAATGTATATAAGGAGCGCAAGTTCTCGATGGAACACTTTCTATCACAGGGATAAGCCCATCCATCTACCAACATGATATCATTTTCTTTTACCTTTCTCCTGGCGTCTCTGATTGTCGTAACGCAGGCGACGCCCTTGCGTCGACAATCTCGGGAACAACAAGGAATTCAATGGCACCAATGTCCCGACGACAAAGATTCTCCGGTCCAATGTGGCAATCTGACCGTTCCGTTGGATTACTCGGGTGAAATCTCCAATGTCACCGTCCCCTTGGAACTGTTCCGCGTGCCGGCCGCAAACAACCAGTCGAACGGGAGTGTGCTGTTGAACTTCGGCGGACCTGGCGCGAGTGGACGGCGTGATTTGTTCGCGTATCGGGAACTTCTGCAAGCGTGAGTGCTCTGCCCTCCCCGATCTCAACTCTCAATACTGACATAACATATAGTATAACTGGTGGCAATCATGATCTCATTGCCGTCGTTCCACGGTATGTTACCTAGACCCGAGTCAGCGATGAATGGCACTGATCGGAGCAGAGGAACCGGAAACAACACCCTTCGCTTCTCATGCTTCAATAACCAGCTGGAAAGAACAATTAGCAGTCTTGCCTACCGGACTCTTGTCGGAAACGCTTCGGACACAGCGATCGGCGAACTATGGGTCAACAGCAAACTCCAGGCCGACGCGTGCTATGCGACGCAGAACCGGACCGGCAGCTTTGTCAGTACGGGATCGACTGCGCGTGACTTCATGAGCGTCGTGGATGCCTTGGGTGAGGACGGCATGTTGCGATACTGGGGTAGGTTTGCGGTCAAAAGACACCCACGAGAATCGGGCTAACTGGCTAGGTATCTCCTACGGAACGGTTCTGGGATCGACCCTGGCGGCCATGTATCCGGATCGGATCGATAAGATGGTGCTTGATGGCGTTGTCAACGTGCACGAATATTACCAGAACAAGTACATTCCTCCTCCACCTCAGCTTGACATGATAACTAACCCCATCCAGGGAATCAGAGTTGTTCACCGACTCCGACAAGGTTTTGCGAGGTTTGTTCACCGGCTGCGTCGATGCCTCGGATAACTGTCCTCTCGGCCAGAATACCACGGCCGACAAACTGGAGGAAGATTTCTACGCCATGCTGGACAAGGTCAAATACGCACCCTACCCCGTGATCTTGCCGGGACTTGGCCCACAGATAATCGACTACACCACGGTCAAGTCGCGAGTATACAGCGATCTCTACTCGCCGGCCCTCTGGCCCACTACTGCCTCGTTCATCAACGGCCTGTTGAACGGTAACCAGACGGCCATCGCCGAATACCTGGCCACTGTCCTTACCCGACCATCGGGCATGGAAGTTGAGTCCCAATTTGGCGTCAAATGCAGCGACGCGTTTTCTTCCAGGTCTACCCCCGAAGATACCGCCAGGACCATCCAGCTACGACACGACGCAAGCCGCATTGGTGGCGACACGGCGGACATTGTGACGATGATCTGCGCGCACTGGAAGCTGGTCCCGAAGGAGCGATACAACGGGGATTTCCGAGTGAAGACGAAGACGCCAGTCCTGTTCATCGGAAACACATACGACCCGGTGACGCCGTTGGTGTCGGCCAGGAATGTCAGTTCGACCTTTGAAGGAAGCGCGGTGCTGCAGCATGATGGATATGGGGTAGGTTACATTCGGACCCTTATTGGGATAATGCACAGAGCTGACAATACTAGCATGGGAGTTTGGAGCAGGGATCCGTTTGCACCGTGAGGGCCACTCGGGCGTATTTCCGTGACGGCACTCTTCCGGACGCCAACACCAAGTGCGATGTCTCGGTGTCGCTCTACTCGGGAAAGACAGGATGGGAGAAGGTGTTTGAGGAGTTTGGTCGGGGCGAGGAGTAAATGGGGATGTTTTTCTGACAGTTCTCTTCTCTTCTGTTGTATTAGTTTTTAGATGGTTTTGTTAGGTGAGAAGGTCTAGGTGGTCTATAGTAATGTGAATCCGATGCTATGCATATTTCTATTTCAAGAGTTACATCGTTCTGTCGCTTTTATCCAACTGTTCAACTGCGAGAGGAATGACATCTCCATCGGACGATCTCCGATGATACCGCCAGGGCTATCACAGACAGAACAATGTAACGATGCATCCTTCAAGCCAATGTCTCTACCATCCCAACCTCAGTGGCCAAGTTTCTTCACCACCACTTGTATACACTGATGACCTACTACTTCCTGTCCCAGCATCAGCCCACTAGAATAATTATTAACCGTCGGTCACCATCAGCAAAGCAATTGACTCTTTATCCGGAAAGCCAAACGACGCCACACCCAATCATTCCTCCAGCCCTGTCGCCACCTCAGCAAGGCCCAGGGACATGCAGAAGCGAAGCACAGGCAGCGATGCCGATATCAGAGATATGATCACAGTCAGCCAATCTGGATAGATTTTCCGTCTCGTATTCCTGGATAAATCGTAATCCTCGCCTGGACCAGTTTCTCAGTTCGGCAACACCCCGGGGAGCGCAGAGTCTCGGCTCTTCTGGCTCGATGACTTTAGCGTGCGAAGCTATTGACGCCAAGAGCCGGGCGGTGCCAATGACGGGGAAGAGTCCAAGACACGCCTGGCACTGGGGCCTTTTAGGGCTGCCTGTTATTGGCGCTGTTTCCCCTTAGCGGCCTTATCCGCTTCTACTGTTTGGTTTGGGTTCAGCTGATTTTTTTTTCTCTTCAGTTTTTTCGCCTGGGACTTTTGGTCTCGCAGATTGATAGGAGTAAAAATCGGAAAGGGTCTCGATTGATCATTGGGGACCCTACCAAACAGCAATTAGCTGGTTTGGTGTTACATTGGGCCCAAGAAGAACCCGATGTACTAATTTTAGCCATTGTTTCCATGTTCTGATATATAAAGTCTATCGATCGCCCCGAGATCTTCTCCCCAGACTATCATCATCATCTTTCCATCTTCATAACCAACCATCCACTTCACTCTCCAACTCCACAAAAACCACACAATCACCACAATGAATCTCCTTCTCACCACCCTCCTCGCCCTCTCCACCACCACCCTCTCCCAATCCATCGATCCCCCAGAGGGCTGCCCTCTGCCCCGATGGAACATCAACAACTTCCACTGGTACAACGGCTCCAAGAGCCTCGACTGCATCCACAACGAAGTCGACCGCTCCGCCAAGGGCTGCCTCTGCAACGGTGGATGGTGCGAACCCAACCCGGACACCTGCAACAGCACCATGGTTCCCCTCTGCTACACGGGGATGCCGAACTACGAGCCCTGGGGCTACGGGCCCCCTCAGACGCTGGATATCGATTTCGCGGACGGCCTGCACTGCCACGACGAGTACATCGGTTACCGCATCCACGACATTGGCAACGGCGCCAGTAACTGCGGTTACGCGGACCGGGGCCTGGGCCGCGTGGTCTCGTTCTACGGCACCTCGAACAAGGAGGTCAGTGTTGGTCATGTTGATTACCAGCTGGGAAGGGGGCATGCTTTGGAATGTCAGGATGGTCGCAAGATCACGTATTCGGGACGCACGGATTTCGAGCTGAACTGTGTGCATGATTCATTTTTCAATGCGACGTGCACGGCCGAGCCGTTCCAGGTTCCTGTTCTGTCGTTTGAGTGGGTGGAGTAAGCTTGCTCTTGTCCTGCTTGGGTCTATACTGCCTGGATTGTGGATGGGATCGGTATATGGTGAACAGACGGATTAATGTATACGCCGCGACGAGTGAAGACTGAATGTGAATCTATGAAATATGGGGATTGGGATAGTGTATCTAGGAATAGTGCGTACATAATCAGTAAATCGAACGAATTCTTCTGGGACATCTATTCCGTAAACCACGCCGGAAATTCACCGATGAAAATGCCCCGTTCAACTAAGCCCTACGGAAACCAAGTCGATAGCCCCCGATAGATGGAGTATGGGCTATGGATACTCTCTGTGCCTCATGCGTCCCTGGATGTGCGGAATCGGGGAAGACATCATCATGCCACTTTCCAAGGAATGCGAAACAAACCGATCAAATAAAACAAAGTCCATCAATCAATCGACACAGCCACCGCGACCGGGTAAACTCCTCATACAAACAAGATAATCTGCAGCTGTCAGTTGAATGCATGAAGAGGAAAAGGAAAATCAGATAAGAAATGAAAGCTTCGCCCCCCACGAATTGCCCCTTCGAGAAGGATTCCACGACCGTTGCCTGATCGGGACGACGCGGCGCACGTGTTAATTGGCTCCGGTGGTCCAGAGCTCTCAAAGGGGCTTAGCGGATCGTCACGGGGCTTTTGTACTGCCTCGCGGGTTCTTCTTTTATTTATTCCCTCCATCTCTCTCTCTCTTTCTGTGCTGCTGTGACTTGACAGAATGTGATCCCACTCTCACCTGACAGATACTCAATTTCGCCAGGACTTCCAACAACAAACAAACCACAACCACAATGGCGTCCACAAATCCATTCGACAACCCTCCTCCGTCAGACCCTCACCCTGAGCCTGAATCTGAACCCAACCGTGACCCTCAACCTCAACTCCACCATCCACCCACATCTCCCACCTTAGCAGAGAGCACGATGCCTCCCCCAAAGACAGCCCTCCAAGTCGACTTCTCCCTCAAAAAATGGAAAGTCATCATCAGCCCCATCTCCACGTCCTCCAGCTCCCCAGAACCCTCCGACTCGGCGCTCTACCGCATCGACACACAATCCACACGCCGACCACAAATGCTCTTCCGACGCGCCAACGCCCCTGAATCCTCTCCCCCCTTCGGCACCGGCACGCTCCACACCTTCAGCATAAACCCGGACTACACGCTACACAACACTTCGCAACCCCTCACGGCTACGAAACGCTTCCGCACATCCTACACCTACCAATCAGCCATCTTCTCGCGCGTCCCCGGCCAGACGGAAACAATGACATGGACATCCACAAGCGGATTCAAGAACTGGGATTTCATCCTGCTCGACGGGGACATGTTGCCTGTGGCGCGGTATTCGAGTCGTGTGTGGGCGGTGCGGAAATGGGGCAAGATTGAGTTCCTGGGCGAGAGGACGGAAGATGAGCGTGCAAGGGAGGAGATCGTGGTTACCGGTTTGGTGTTGTTTTTCTGTATGGTGGTGAGGGCGAGTAGTATTTTTGCCTTTTTTGGAGCGTGCTTTTATCGTCCGGGCGTGAATGTGAAGAGGAGTTTGGAGGGCGGGAAGGGTGATGTTCATGTTGATGTTGATGGCGATGGTCATGGGGGTAGGAGGGAGTGAGTTGGCTTGACCTGGCTTTTCTCTTCTCTCTTTTTTATTTCGTTTTTGCGCCTTGGTCTTGATTTGCGCCTCATTCGAGATACCCCGGTCGTTTTTTATTTTTATTCTTATTCTAGATACCTGATATTGGAGTTGGGTTGCGCTGATAGATAGTTATTTGTATTACTAGATGTTTCTCACTTGCAATTGAAAGAATGCATTCTATATTCTATGGGTATCTGCTTCTAATCTATACAATAACTAATTCTAACCGACGCCCATTAAGCATTATTCCCTTACCCGTTCAACTTTTGTGTTTGCCCAAAACCCGCAAATGCAACGCAACGCTGATAAAATCACTTTTATGTTTGCCTTTCCTCATCCATGTGTCAACCACTCCAATAGTCAAGAGTGAAATCAACCCTTCCTAAAATCAACCTCGCCCTTCGCCGCCGCCTGCGCGAACTTACTCCTCCCTCGAATCCACTCCCCATAGCGAATGAAAACAAACGGAATAACCGCCACCGCGATCGCAAAGAATCCCAACAGGGAACTCGCCCAGTTGATACCCAACGTCGAATACATGGGCGTGGTCGCGAGCGGTAGACACACGGCGAAGATGGACCGCAGCGTACTGGCCGCGGCGGCAGCGGAGGCCGAAAACTGCTTATAGGCGTCGGTCAGGTAGTTTATCAGGGCCATGAAGATGAGGAGGTAGCCGAAGCCGAAGAACACGCCGGACATCATGGGCATGACGGGGTGTATGCCGAGACGGGCGGACCAGCCGAGCCAGAAGAGGGCGATGGGGATGGTGGGCGCGCCGAGGCAGGCGAGGGGGAGGCGCCGGTATTCTTCGACTAGGGTCCAGGATTGGCCCGAGAGGGTGGCTTTCGTGTGGTGTTTTGAGTAGAGGACGAAGGCGCTGAAGGCGAGGATCGAGCCCGGGAGGACTGGAATTTTGTTAGGATTGGGGAGGGGACTGGGTTGGGTTGAGTGGGACTTACTAGGGAGGAAGCCGAGTCCGGTGATACCGGCTGATAGACCGTAGAGTTCTATAGAAAGGTCAGTTGCAAGCTCAAGATGACTGAGCGAGGACAACATACGTTGGAACACAATCGGATAGGCCTGGAAGTAGAGGTATAAGATGGAGTAGATCAGAGCAAGATACAGCGAGCAGCAGAACACGATCGGCTCTCGCATGATCATAACGAACGGCCGACTCAACACCGAGCCCATCTTCTGCGAGAACTCGTGCGTCTGCACACGGAACTCCTCCCACGCCGACAACCTCTCCTCGTCGCGCAGCAGGGACTTCTCGTATCGCTGAATCAACACAGGCATGTACGTCTCCGGCATGGTGACCAGAAGCGGATATCCCACGCCTGCGATAATGAGTCCCGCCCAGAAGGTCCACCTCCACGAGACGGTCGACACGAAACCCGAAATAATAGGTCCCAGAAGAGGCGGGAACGTCGTGGCGAACATGAACCAGCCCATTACCACACCGCGCTGATGCGGGTTGTCGTAGATGTCCGAGTACAAGCCGCCCAGGACGGCATTGGGTGCCGACCCTCCCAGTCCGCAAAGAAATCGGAAAATGAGAAGCGCCGGGAAATTGGGCGCCAATGCGCAGGCCATGGTGAAAATGAGATACATCGTGAATGTGGAGAGCAGGACCGATCTCCGACCAAAGTACTCGCTCATGGGACCAAAGATGACCGGCCCGATAGCGAAGCCGGCCATATACAACGACGTCGGAAGAACCATTTTCAGGCTGTCGCTGGGAATGTTGAAATACTCAGCCAGAGCATCGTGAGCACCGGAGGGAAGAGAAGATCCCAACGAGCTGTTGAACACAAAATGAATGCCGGCGACCACAATATGAAGTTTTCGTTTCTACATTGAACAGTCAATGACTTGTACACAAATAGACAGACAAAATAGACCAAGCCCAAACAGTCAAGAATCTAAACATAAGGAAATGATGTGATTACCGTCGAGAATTTAGTGGGATTAGTTAGACCCTTCTCCGTCACGGGCTCAGGGTCGACCATATCCGCAGGGACCGGGCGAGCATCGCAGTCCTTTGGCTTCTCAGATACCGTGAGAGACGCCATATTCATCGAATTCACGAATCTAGACTTGCAATATCGTCAATGCGGACGATTGAAGGCGGGACCCGAAGAATTTTTATTGTTCTCTTACAAATTCGGAACAGGAAAAGACCACGGCATTCGCTCCGACGCTACAGGGTCGAAGCAACGCGACTGGTTGGAAAGTGAAGATCGTGATCCACCCCGGCAACCCGGTGGGCAGCAATTGGGAGAAAAAGACCTTAGCAGTGGTCTAGATGATGCCACTGTGGCTGCCCGGCCGTTGCAGGGCCAGCGCACCGAACGACTGGTCACTTGGTACCAGTTGCGACATTCGCGCGTGCCGTTTGAATTTCATATTGTTTACTAACGACATGATGGATATAATTCCAATCCTGATGGTGCCTTGACCTCCTCGGACAACTGTGCGAGCTTTGACAGTGACTGGAACGCCCTGCGCCCTGTAGCAGACATTCTGTGGGCCAAGAATCAGAATTTTTGACTCATGGCTGCGACGGCTCCACTTTCGGCACCGTGGGATGCTTGCGTCTGGTTGCGGGTTGGTTTTTGCGTGGAATGAGATCAAAGGAACCCACTTGCCGGGATTGCTTGTTGCCCTGATGATTCAGACTGCATCCGTGGTCTGGAATCAAGAATTGGTGAGAACCTGAGCTAGTTCATGCCCTTTAATAATCTTGTCTAATCGCACTTCTAGTGAAAATGGTGGGCTCAGCGTACGTGCTCGAAGGAGCTTTTTCACAGTAGATGCTTGCTTTTCCAGCTGCCTAGTTGTATAGGGTGTTTTAGGCGCTGAATTAGTTGATCGACTGCCTGGTGGTGTAGGGGTTTTTAGTTGAATATTCAACTCACTAAGTATCCTATCTGGATCTAATGGAATTAGATCAGCACCTGCAAAGCTATTCTGAATAGTTTCTGCTTTAAAAGCAATCGCGTGAGCTTGGGGAAAGGCCTTAAGAAAGTCAAGCTTGTCATAATGATTAAGGCCTGCCCGTATATTCTCTGCTATTAAGTCTCCATAAGCATCTTTTAGAGACTTAAAACAGCCAACATCTAGAGGTTGTAGTAGATGCGACGAATGCGCAGGCATACAGAGAGGAATAATATCGTTCTCACTGCGTATCTGGTCGAATTGAGGCGTAAGATGGCTAACGTGACCAAGAATAAGAAGACGATATCTTCCAGTTGTACGACCAGTAGTAACAGGAATAAAGAGATTTTGAAGCCAGCGAAGGCCTATCTCGTAGTCCATCCGTTAGGACTAACTTCAATCCTACTATCGCGTGAGAGCTTGATATCTTGATACCAACCCTCTATATGAACTTTCCCTTTAAAGATAATACACGGAGGAAGCGCCCAACCAGTAGAGTTGATACACTCGATTGAAGTAACCCATTCGCGATTACCTGGCTGTACAAGAGAGGCCTTTCCATAATAATCAGCTCTAGTAACTACTTGAGCAGTAGCTACTAGGCCCATTGCAAAGCCCGTTTCGTCAAAATTGTAGATATCTTCTTGTGCGATCCCGTATTGCATTAAAGTGATTTGTACGCAGTTAAACCACTCTTGTATAATCTTAGGATCTTCGCATTTAGCACGTCGATAATTGTAGCGTCGAGTATAGCGGGTTTTCACTTCATTTCGTCGTTTAATAAAGTTATATACCCATTTCTCTCCAACTGATTGAATTGGTGTAGTACCGCGCTGAGCAAGTAGAATATTGGCCATTTCTCGTATATGCGACGGTCGGGGAGGCGCTCCACGTCGATCTAGCGAGATAATCCACTGTATAAGCGATTCCTCTTCATTTTGAGTCATTTTATGACAGTTGGCGCGTGTCTCTGCTCGAAAGGTATAGCCATTTAGTCGTCTTCGAAGCGTTGTACGTGGAATATTATAAACACGAGCTGCTTCAGCAATATTGCAAATTTTTCGATTTTTTGGTGCAGATATGGCAAGTAGGATACTACCCTCTTGCTCAGCTGAATTTCTTGTATTTTGACGCGCTTTTGGAGGCATGGTTGGTGGTTGAATTGAGTGAGGTTTTTGACCGCGGCCAAAAACGCGTGTGGTGGCCGCTCGCTTACCGAATACGTTACAATTTTTTACCGATTCTATGATTCTATCTATATGACAATTTTTCTTATTTTGGCTATTGATATACGTGGCCAAAATGCTCAGTGATTAGTATTTAGTCGCCTAGTTTGCTCTAGTTATCCAGGAATTCAGACGCTCATGCATTAATATCTTTGGCCATAGAATTACTAGTGTATTCCGAATACTATTTTTGTTGACATCTTGGAAAGTTTTTCTGTATTAGGGCCTCACCGAAGAAGGGTTGTGCTTACCTATATACCAAGGAGCATTACAGGTTGACGACAAGCAAAATGAGATTGGTCTGAAGCAGCTGCAGCCATGCAATCTAAGGTCTAGTCCAGGCGCCAATCCAGGTTCCAGACGTTCTAAGATACAAAGTATGTTTCTGCTTGGAGTGGCATCCCCAGTGAACCATGGGCAGCAACGTTGATTCCTCACACAGTGGCCTGCTTGTCTGACTGAAGCTTATCAGTTTGCTCTGTACAATGCATATCGTCATCTTCCTGCGTTGGGCGAGTATTGACCCATGGAATTCCGCCGGATAGAATAAATGCTAGAGCGCTACCAGCTATTGGAAGATACTAGTAGAGTCAGCATCGCCAGCTTAACACGGAGGTGACAAGATTAGAAGATTAACTCACAAAGATAGTTGTGATGGCTTTATTGTATGCAATGATAATATCGGCTAAACGGTCCGGAAATGCTTGTACAGCAACTTCCCGCACCCTTAGGGTTCCAGTATTAAGAAGGATCTCGATCTGCTTATAATCCAACGATGCCTGAACTTGTAGCTGTCTTTTCAATTCGTTCTGAAAGATAGCGTCTCCTATGCTTTGCATCACCGCACTTCCAAAGTATTGCGTGAAGAGAACAGTCGCTATCCCGACTGGAACGTAGTGAGGTCTGTCCTTCAATACAAGCTGAACTGTAAGTAAAGGAATCTGGGCTGCAAATCCACAACCCAGGCCCTGGAAGATCTGATAACCAATCCACGATGCGGACGTTGAGGATACAGTAAAAGTTGTGTAAAGCCCGTTCGCAATGCAGAGAAAGGCAGAACCAATGAAGAGCCACGGATTATAATATCTGAGGTGTTTGGCTATAGCAATACAGCGTCAGTATAAACTTTCGTGAAATGGTGAGAATATATCCTGTCTTTACCTAGTATTCCAGAGACAAGGGATCCAAAAACCTGAGTACAAACCGAAGGCAGAAGCATGACTCCACTGCGAATGGGGCTTGCAGACTTAACAATTTGAAACCATTCCGGTAGATAGTAGACCGGAATGACGAATGACCCCAAAAACAAAAAGGCAAATGCAATACTAAGCATTGTCGATCTGCCCCGCAGAAGCACGATTGGGACCATAGCTTGATCCCCCATGTAATATTCCCAGAAGATAAAGATTGCTATCATCACTGCAAAGCCGATGAAGAGTCCGATCACGGTCGCTGAGTCCCAGGGATATTCGCTACCTCCCCACTGTAAGGCCAACATCACCATAATGATGGAGGGTATAAAGAGAGCACATCCGATCAAATCGAGCTGTTTTAGGAAGGACACACCATGGGCCCTAGTGTTTTGAGGCGGATGGAAAAATAAAAGCAACGTCACCACAGTCACTGCTCCTGCTGGAAGATTGATTAGAAAGCACCACCTCCAAGTATATTCAGCCAAAGCGCCTCCGATAATTGGGGCGACAACAGTTCCCAGGGCATAAAGAGAGGTTATCAGCCCAGTGAGCAGTGGACGCTGCTGAGGGGTTGTTATCAATGCAATGACTGAGAGACCACCCGACACTACCCCAGAGCCTCCAGCACCAGCGACTGCTCTTCCGATTATGAACATTTCGGAACTGTTTGCCACACCACAAATCAGAGATCCTAGAAGGAATATGCCGTAGAACCCGAGGTATGTCCATCGCAGCGACAGTAATGACGAGAGCTTGCCACTGATAGGTTGAAGAGCGCACATCGTGAGCGGATAGGTAGCTCCATACCAGCCGATATCTGTTGTAGCATGGAAGTGGGTTGATATTGAAGGAATGGCCTTTGAGAGGTAACTTTTAGTTCCACAAAAGATCAAGCAATAGAACCGAGGGACTTTCAATGAACTTACAGTAGCAATAATAGAGACATCCAATGATATCAGGAAAGTGGCTATCATAATTCCGGCAAAGATGCTATAGAGCTTTACAGAGCCGACCGGCTGTGCTCTGGACATCGCGTCAGGATTTGAAGACATTATCAACAAGGTTGACCAAGATTTCAAACGATTGTATTAGTGGTCTATGGCAATGAGGTTATTCGAAATGTTACCGCAGGTTTTATGCTGTCCCTGATCTCCTAACAGTTACTAAATTAGGTAGTCTGTTGGCATAGTAGGCCGGGGCCGGTCCCGGCTCCAAGGCCGACTCCGACTCCGCGCCACGTTGGCCTCTGCCTCCGGCTTCTACCTCAGTGTCACTCATCACCCTGGAACCAGAGCTATCTCCCAATACAAAGAGCAATGCAACCTAAAGCTCCCTCAAGGGCGGCATGCATGTGTACGATGCATTCAGTTGAAAGTGAAATGTGTTCCGATTGAGAATGGACGGTGTCAACGATGTGCGAGACTCGACCGACACTGCTTTTCCAGACGGCTCGCGTAGGAATACAAGCATCAGGTTAGCCCAATGACCATATACACCTGTGTTGGGGTAGGCTGTCGGGTAACATTCTCTCCCTCTCTCCAGAAATAGCCGCGTCGATGTCATCCAGCATCAGATCGATACACTTGCTGCTCAATTATATACTGATAAGGTATCCTATTTCAAACTGATGCCCCTGTTTCCATTCCTTATTATACCTGAAGTGAGCTTTGTTGAATTGCGCAAGCAGTCTCCATTCCTCCTCTTGTGTATAATAACAGCTTGCCTCGAGCACAAGCCCACTCTACAGCAGAAATTGGAATTCGAAGCTCTAACTGTGGTCTCTACCCGCATAGTAATGAACATGGAGAGGGACATGGATTTACTTCGGGGGTTACTGGTTCATATCGCATGGTATCACTATCATTGGCACATCTATCATACCCAGGTGTACATGCTTCTTCAGATGGCTATGGCCATCGTTGTTGATTTGGGACTTGACAGATACAACAACTTCAAAATGCAGTGTATATCTTATAATGGAAAAGGGACGGAGGAGTTACACAAAGGACAAGTACTCTATCTGACTCCTGATGGGCAGCGTGCCTTCTTAGGGTGCTATTATCTATGTTCCAAGTGAGAGCTTCTAAATTACAGTACAGTGATATTAACTAACAGAATAAGAGCCTCGATATTCCGGCGACAGCTGACTATGGAACATACAGACTGGGTCGAGTATTGTGCTGATAGCTTAGGGCAAAGGGCGGAGTATCCTACTGACCAGTCTCTAAAAGCACTAATTAAGGTCCAGTCGCTTGCTCAGCAATCGGAGCTAGAGCTCGAAGACCCTATCCGTGCAATGAGCAAGGACGAACTGTTCCAGTCTATAGATGTACTTGAGAATCAAATCGAGCATCTTCTTGTACAGGAAACACAGTGTAATACCTGTATGTCTATCTGAGACTGATTAGTTTCGCCATTTACTGATCTGACTAGGGTCCCTGCGTTTGGAGCTCAACGCAATTCCTGCCATTGTTCTCGGGCATGCTCTTCGGCGACAAAGAGATGTCCATCGCCAGTATGAGAAACAGAAACTGCTCACCATTGCGCGTTCCGCGTTCAACATTGTGACGGTATTCCTTGCATCGCCGGCTTCGGTCACACCTAATCTCCCTATGTTCAGTTACACATCCATCTGGTACGGCCTTCTTGTTTTATCGAAGCTGAGCTTGCTTTCGGATGCCGCGACAAAAGGCAAGGCAGTCGAAGTCTATAACAAAGATATCCACAACCTCGGCCTTGCTGCTATGCATAAAATGGAGGCAATGTCACGATGAAACGATGTTTGGGATAATTGCCGTGCAGTGATTGGATCCATGCTCTCATGGTTAGAGAGCAGTCGGACACAGCCCCAATCAATACAAGTTCGAGGAGATACATCAAACACCCAGGACGCTGAGAACGCTCATATGTTACCACAACCAATACCCGAAGATCCCCCTCGAGCCACAGAGACTGCAGCGGTAGTTGAAGATTGGGATGCTACCGTATGGCAACAGATGTTGCCAGATTTGACCTGGATAGGACTACCGGTGGAGCAGCAGTTCACTGTAGATCTAGTCTACATGCCTTGAAAGCAATGTGACTTTCATACCCCTGTCCACCGGATTACGCAGGCTGAATTATGTTTGGTTTAATCTTATTGAACATCATGTGACATTTCTCTTGCCTAGCGAGAAGCAACGGCTTCTTTCTTGCCTTCCTCCCCTTCCCTACCCTTTCTCAGAATGGCCATCACGCATCAAAGGCCTTATAAACTCGCTTCCAAGATCGGCCAATCATTTGCTGGGTAATTTCCCTCGCTACTGCCAGCCTCATCATGCCAAGATCGCCAGAATTGTGTCCAAAGGTGAACCTGTTGATCTGGTATGACCCGGTTACTGGGCCACCATCGAGCTAGAGATGATCGGTCCGGGAAGGGCTGTCGTTTGCAGGAAGATTAAATGAGAAGCTATACGGATTACGGCAACCGATCATGCCATGCCTTGGATTTATCCAATGCTGCATCTTCCCCGCACTCCTCCCTGTTCATCAATCTCCGTGCAAACCTCAAAAGATAAACGAATGGCTACGCTTCCACCGCGCCAAGATAAAATGAGCTGCAGGCAACCGGATACCTATACCCTCGGTTAACTCCCAGTTGTTTAAGCGGTAGTCGTCTACGACGCGGAACCCGCGGTGAGCCGAATCGACCGCCGGGATATGTACTGGTCGAATAATGATGACTGCAACGCGATAAACTCGTTTCGGACCTCAGGGCCTATCATCCTTCCCTTCTTCATGCCATTGACCAACTAACTAATGAACTGTCGATTGAACTGTGATCAATTATGTCTAAGAAACTTATACAATCCATCCTACAGGACTCACTTAGCAGTTAGCTTCACCTGTCCAGTTAAACTGGCAATCTTCCAGTGACTGCGTATTGCTTTCGGCGATAGCTTTTGCCGTCAGCTGCATAGGACCTGTCGTGCGGGGCCACAGCCGAATACGGATGCCGACAGGAGGATTGGTTTGCTCCTTGGGCTTCAAAGATTGTGGGGAAAGGAGGGAAGCTTTGAGATGCAAAGAAGCTCGTTCCTGGCCAAGACACCGATATCCCTGTGTACCAACAAGCAGCTTGGTGGTGTGATGAACTTGAACACAGCACACGTCAACGAGGGTTGAAATTTCTGGGAAACAGACCTGTACATGAGGATGCTCTCCCATCAGCTGGATAGTACTCGATTTAAATACTGTCCAGCGTTGTCTTGGGCCTCTAGACAATTGTGACACTACATTTTAGCATATGGATGATCAGCAACGTGTCACCAGTGCCGTGTTTCGCCCTTTCTCCTTTCCTACTCCCTTGTTTCGAGTGCAGTTCTGCTCATTCAACGGCTTTAGCTACGATTTCAAAGCAGTCGGTCGTGATGTAGCACAAAATCGGCCCTCACGTTTGTAGTTGGTGGAACCCTGCACCCGTTTCCGCGCCCTCGGTGACTTGGTTGTTAGCTTACAACAGTCTTCACTACCATCTTTTGCATCATAAAGAGGGAAATGCATCTAGGACACCGGTCAACGTGACACAAGCTGCAATACCCATCTGGCGTAGACAGACAGGGTAATGCTGTGATTACGTGGTATCATTACCCATCCTGCCACCATTCGATTGAACGGCCACCGGGCCATCCCGTGTCCTCTTGGTCTATACAGAATCAACCGCTATCAATAGGCACAGGCTTCAGTTCGCTGGTAGTTACAGCTCCACGACTCCTCGGTGGCCGAGCAGCTATCTCGCGACTTGCGAACTGTTGCGTAGCCTGTTTTTTTCACGATGAGAGAGTGTGAATGTAATGAGCTCTCTATCTGATCATGAAAAGTGTAGCCGTCCAGAATACCATAAAAGGGCGCTCAGTTCTCCTGCCATATTTCTCAATCCATCACTCTCATCATCAACGATTCCCTTTCAAATTTCAACCCAAAGCAAAGCCAAACCACCTCAAACCCAAACAACCCAAACAAGTCAACACAAAATGCACTTCCCCAAGGCCATTCTCGCTGCCGCGGTCGCGTTCTTCGCTTCTTCTGCTCTGGCAGAGGACGTCATGGTAACTGAAGCACCTCCTTCCACATCTCCCTTGAAGATCCCATCTCCAAAATACAGCTGCTTATCGCCACTTCTTACTAGATAACCTACACGGTCAGCGATATGGCGTACAACCAGAACATCCCAATGGACGTGTACACTCCTCTCCACCATCCGTACGTACATAGAACCGCCAACACCTGCTCCCTGGGCCTTGTCCCCAAAGCTTGAAACAAACGCCTTGCAAGATACTAACAAACAACTACAGGGGTCAAATGAGCACCCTCCAGAACAACGGACGCTGCTTGCTCTTCCAGTATGCTTTTTATTCCCCTGTCAATCGTGGTTCTGATTCTGATGTGCTGATGTCTGTCTCAGGGATGGCAACTCCGTTGCCACCAACGAAGTTATGAGGGGATCGCACGTCTTCAGTCCCCCCGTCATGGTCGCGGGTATGATGTGCCATGGTCCGTCTATGCAGTGAGCGGGTGGGTGATGATCATCCAACGAGCCAGACTTGGAAGGGGGCTAGGTTTAAGATGTTGCGGGTTGCGGGTAGTGATTAGTTAGTTGACAGGCAACGAGCCGGGAAATTGATTGAATTCGATTTTTGGTGGAAACTTGGCTATCAAAAGACGTAGTTATGATGTATTGAATTTTGCGCAGATTGAGTTTCGGGCGAGGATTTCTGGTCTGTACTCCATAGAGTTATCGCTCGGGGAGGTTGTAACCAGCCCGTGTTGTTGGTTTAGAAGGTCGTAGAAGTGACAAGACACAGTTCGAAAAAAGAATTATCGCGAATGTTTCAGTTCCTATACAAGTAACGCATACATCTCACAAACTCTCAGCCCAATTCGAATTAACGTGATTGATAATCCTCATAAAAGACAAGGCTGTGAAGAGAAGAAGCCGCTAGACATGGGCGGCATCTTTAAGTGGGTTCAGACACCCGCAGGCGGCCAATAATAGAATATCGTGAATGTATCTCCACAACAGCACAAGCTTCAAACATGGGGGCCAATGATTGATTTCAAAGCAAAAACTCTCAATCAAGTATTGTTGGCCTCATAGATTGATTTCAAATCACGATGAACATTCCTGTTGACGATCGAAGACGTGGGTTTCACGATGGTCTCGAAAACGCATAAAACCAGCGTGATGGCGCATTCTTGTCGCTTCCATCTTCAAATCAATCAATTCAATTCAATTCATTCTTGAACAATCGTTAAAACCATCCAAAAGACTTCAACAATGGCATCCTACCTGGTTACCGGCACGTCGCGAGGAATTGGCCTCACTCTGACGAATATTCTGGCTTCCAAGCCTGCCTCGGAGGTTCCTACCATATACGCTGCTGCGCGTACTGAAACAAACGAGCTCAAGCAGTTGGTTGCGAAGTCAAACGGACGTGTACAGATCGTCAGTATCGACGTGACGTCGAAAGAGAGCACGAAGAAGGCAGCCAGTGAGGTTGAAAAGGCGCTCGGGGACAAGGGCCTCGATGTGTTGATCAACAATGTCGGCATCATGAACTACACTCCCGATGGAATTGAGACTATGTATGTTTCCTCCCTTTCCTTCAAAATGATCAGCTCCGTATTGATTTGATTTATGACAGGGATGATCTGGACTCTACATTTACGGCCAACGTGACAAGCACGCACCTCGTCACCAGTGCTTTCCTACCTCTTCTGCAGAAAGGAAACTTGAAGAAGGTCATCAATGTGTAAGTGGGCCCCGATAGCATCTGTCAGCTCGGTCCCTTTTCTGACGCATAACAGATCCACCACTCTCGGCTCCATCGCCATGTCCCCGAAATACAGCCTCTTCCCTGTGCCCGCGTACAAAGTCTCCAAGGCGGCGCAGAACATGCTCACGGTGCAATATGCCCAGTCCTTCGCGGATCAAGGCTTCACATTTGTGACCGTCTCTCCAGGTGTAAGTTCCCTTATCAAACGACAGTGACTGTGAATCAGGCTAATAAATTCATAGTGGGTGAAGACTGATCTCGGTGGATCTGGTGCCGATCTGACGAGGGAACAGAGCGCCAATGGTATTTTAGAAATCGTGTTCCGTGTGACGAAAGAGGAGAATGGCAAGTTCTATAACATCAGAGTTGATGGATGGGAGGAGGCCGAGGGATTGAACCGGTACGATGGCGCCGAGGCGCCTTGGTAACCTAGCAATAGATCTAATAAATATTAATGAACACCAGAGAGTTTTTGAGACTATGAAAATAAACATTCCTACTCCGTATGCATCAACTGGATTGGATGCTATTTTAGCAATCGACCTAAAATGATCGAAATGCGACGCGCGAAAGCTTAGTGGGCAGGAAAAGGACCCAGTGTGGTAATTATGCTCAGCTTGTGAGTATTTATACGTGCATAACTTGATTTATTTGTTGTCTTCAGGCCAGGACGGCCTGGCTGTCACCGAATAACGCCGCAGCTTGAGTCGAATCTATCGCCGAGCATCACCGAGCAGCGAACAGGGCCGAGCGCCGAACAGGGCCGACGCTGTAAACATTCCAATACTAACACACTACTCGGCCATACTCGGTGTTTAGCATAAATACAACTATTCGGACATGGTAAAAACTGTAGTGTATCTAAACTTCGGTATTTCGATCAGAATATCAAACTCACCCGTATAGTCAGGGAAACAGTCATTCTTTTCCTTAGAACAAAGAGCCTTTGTATTGTTTTGAACGAACTCAATAACTCGGATTATGAGGATGGTAATAACCGTTTAGAACTCGGATACTAACCAGAGGCACGAGTCGTCTGGATAAATTTTCCGGCACGAGGTCAACCCCTTCGTGCGGCGTTGTTCGGTCGTATCCGCTCTATCGCCGAGTACAGCTGCGATTGTCCTCTACACAGGCCAAGTCCGAATAGCGCCGAACGAGTCAAGAAGACGCATTCAGAACAGTCCACTGATTCAGGTCATTTGGCTTATTCCTTCCAAGCTAGTTCCTATTCTATTCGACTATTAATATGTCCTATGTGTGCTTATTTCGTATCTTGATTTTGCATTACATATGCACCAACTTCCACTTCCGTATCCCTTCATTCCCTTTCCTTTGTTTCTGCCGGTCTATTCCAATTAAAATTTCGCACATCCTTCGGCTTCATCACAGTCAATATTTAAATCGCATGTCATAAATATTCTGCTCGCCTCTTGGAGCACGACCACGTTGATATTTAGCCTTGACTGGTTTGTCTGATTCATACAGATACCGAATATCTTTAGCAAACAACAGAAAAGGGCCCAGTTGAAAAAAAAAAAAAACCATCATTTATACTTAAATAGGAATAGTTCAAAGCAAGTGCCGTTGTCGAGGTCCGCCAAATTCGCTTTGCAGATAAATCACAAATAACGCCCTAAAAAAATCCTCAAGCAGAATCCAAAAAGATACGCTCCTATCTTTGTAGGCATACCGATCGGCTTCCGATTAGCTGGTCCTGTACATCCGATTCCGTGCAATCGCCGACTCTAGATCTAACTGCGCATTTAGATGTGTTAGCTCAACTATCCCAAGATAACAATCCAGCTGATCCTCATCACATCCCACGCATCGCCTGAGCGCAGAGAACCCAGAAGTAACAAACGCCGGCTCAGCACCAGGCGACGGAGGGGTAATGCGCCCACATCTGGGTCGATAGGTCAATTCAATCTCCTGTAGAGAGTGCTTATGGGGCGCTAATGCGTTCTCGAAGTCTGCGATCGTCGCCCGATTCACTTCTCTGGGTGATCCACCACCTACTGCATAGAGGCCCTGGACATGCTCGACACATAGATGAGTTAAGGCCCTCGGCATCTGCAGGTTATTTTTCAGTGCATTGAACCCAACGTAGCTCTGGTAGAAACGAAGAGTTTTGAGGTTTGTTGATCTCTTATATCTCGCGAAGTCTTCGCTCTCGATGTCTAGGTCTCCTTCGCCCCATTGGATATTGTGGATGGTTAACTCTTCCAATTGTGGGATGCAGAACAGAATACCATCAAGGACCCTTGCTGCTCCGGCTATCACGTAGAGGTTCAAATTCACTTACCTTTTATCAACAACTTGCCGCTTGTGAAAGGGGCGAGGAGGTGGGAATGGGTAACTGACACGATCGCAAAGCAGGCAGAGCCCGCGCCGTGAGTGGTCTTGGAGGGGCTAAGAGATCGTGTAGACCAGCGGGGGCTCAGTGTTTCCTGCGATGTTGTACTAATACCAGATGCAGGTCTGGTCGCCGTGTACGTACAGGGATTCGAGATTTCTTAACGAGTCGCGAACAGGACTCAATGGTGCGTCGCTGAACATGCCTCTCGGGATATTGTGGATGGCGAGATGACGAATCGTGTATTCATATTCTCTCTCGTATACCGTTTCTATGAAGCGTCATCACTTAGATCCTGGAACAGACGGCGAAGTGTATAGACGAGGCATTGCGAGATGGTTGAGCAAGCGACATGTTTGGCTGAGCGAGGCGAGAACGGGCGGGCTGTCTATTAGGTCAATGATGGCGAGAATGAGCTCGTATGGAAGATTCATAGTATTCAATTCTTCCATATTCGCTAATTACACGCCGAGCGCTTTATCGAGGTCATCCATCGGAGTAGATTCTTGTATTCTCTGCTCCGTATAGAGAGGAATGGGATCGTGCTGGTCGAGAGTAGCGGGTCGCTGTGGGTCACCTGAGGAGCTAGCCTGAGGCCCTGCAGGAATTTAGGCAGCAAGGTATCCAGGCAACAAGAGCCGAGGTTGGTTATTTTTGTCCGTCACCCTGTCAATTCATAACACGCACCAGGTAATTGTCAGGGGTGTACAGCTGCTCATTACTTTATCAGCTGTTTTCTTTCGGTTGGGGTGCGTTTCAATAGTCAATAGTGATATGTCATTCTGCCCCAGTGATTGTACGCTTTGGTACGGATATATATCCCGAACTGGGTCATGTTCAACACTTCTGTGGGAACAACCAAAGCATAAAAACCCATGAAAGAGATAGATGGCCTATAGCCTCTTCCAAACTAATTATATTTATGACCATCCCAATTAATTCGCTTCATACATGATGTTTGTTACATTGAAAATCTTTTACAGCAGAGAATATAGCCTGGTATGTACAGAAGAATTTCATCTTAAATCAAGTCATACATACATGCCATCGTGAATCATTCCAAAAACTCGCCCATCTTCTCCCGCGCTTGATCAGCCTGTCCCTGTACATCCAGGTCCCATAACCATCGCAAGCGATTTTGGAATGTCTCCTTCAATTTTTCCTCGTCATCATCTACGCCGTCCAAACATAAAGAGAGAAGATAGGCGTTCTCCTTGCTGCTAGTGACCACCCGTTGACTGCGCGGTCGCCGGACATCATCGTATGCCTTGAACACGGCCTCCACATCCCGTGCATTCGTCACACGGGCATCGCTGAGAAGTTCCGCTAGAACGTGCGCATCCTCAATGGCCTGACCGGCGCCCGCGCCCTGATGCGGCGTCGATGCATGCGCAGCGTCTCCGAGGATGGCGACCCGCGACTTGCAATACGTCGAGATATGCGGATGCTCGAAAATCGCCCATTGTGACGGGTCCGGCATGTACTGGAGATCAATTAATTCGTGCTGTCAAGTAACGATAGATCGTGAAAAGCGACTCACCTCGACCAGCGACTGCACATATCGCCCCATATGGCTGGCATCCCGTCGCATCGCCTCCTTACTGGCCGGTCGCACCCAGCTCTCATGGTCCCAGGTATCGGTCAAGATGTAGAATCCGACGTTCACCTTCTTGGCTCGCATGATAGGATATGAGATCCCGTAGGCGCCTTTACCAACATACATGGTCGAGACACGGGCGCGCTGGTCCCCAACCGCCTTGACCATTTCCTCCATGTCCAGAACGGCGCGATACGCATACATACCACTGAACCGGGGCTTCTGTGACTCGTCGGGAACAATCGACTCCTTGACCTTGGACTTGATGCCATCGCACCCGACCACCACGTCGGCGCGAACCTTCGTCCCGTCATCGAACCGCAAATCCACGCCCTCCTCCGACTCTGTCAGACTCTCCAGCCGCTTCCCGAAATGCACGATGTGCGACGGGATCAAGTTCACCAGGGCCTCGAGGAAGTCGGCGCGACGGAGCGTCGTCTGGCCCGAGGGGAGGGCCTTCAGGTCCATGAGCGTCTCGCCTTCATGCTGGCCGCTAGCCCAGACGATTTCGAACCAGGTCTGTCGGAAAGCCTCGTAGCCGGGGCTGTCGGCGTGGGTGGTGACGAGGGAGTCGTAGATGGCGCGGATCTGAGGATCGATCAGGGGCATTGCACGATGCGCCGCGGGGCCGATGGACAATCCCAGGCCGATCTCCGCGAAGGCGGGTGCAGCCTCGTAGATCTGCACGGGCACATTGCGCCGCAGAAGTCCCACGGCCAGGCTGAGGCCGCCGATTCCCCCGCCCACGATGGTGACGGTGAAGTTCTTGGATGGTGCCGTGCTGCCCATGTTGATGTTATCTTGGCATGCAAATATTTATTAGTTTTGTTTTTATTAATTTTCGGTATTGAATGGGATTGATTGTTTGGTCTGCGCCCGTGGCAAGGGGTCGAGTGTGCGTGTCACGGTGGAGATGGACACTCGTTCCAACTCCCCCTCTTGGGCTGGGGATTTAAAGGGCGATAAAATGGATTGAATGCAGACGGGTTACACGGCATCTGGCCACGGACTAATAAAAAGGTGTGGTATGATGTTGGCCACTGAGATTAGGCTTCGCAAGTGGAGAGGTATGTAGTAACTATCCATGGATCCTCTTCCAACACCCCTCCTGAACGAATGACTTTCACAATTCCCCCCAGAGAAGCAGAGATAGGCTTGTCAGATGCAGATCCACAGGTTATGTAATAACCCCCTACGCTAATTATCTTTTAGCGCGGACTGTGCTGCGCTGTCTTGCGGAGTCCCTCCTATTGACCCTCCCCGTCTCCTGTCGAGCGATATCCGCGACTCGGCCGCGACGTGATCCACTTCGTCCGGCCCTTGAATATCTCCGTCTGGATTAAATTATCATTGATTACTTAGGAATTTATTCTGCCTCCGACCAGACGAAAAGCCTGGAACAACAGGCCCAGAAGGCGAAGGGCACGAGGAAGCATCCGCAGGAACCGACTCCATCACGGCACCCACCTGCACGC